AGGAGGCCATGAATATTAAAGAGACCGTCTCATCAGATCAATTACCCCGTGACGAAGTCTTAATATCGAAAGGCTATCGGATTTATAACGCGTTACTCACCACTGATCAGCTGTTCGAAAATAGAACACACTGCACCTCATAAGTCAAATCTAATCGTTTTGTAATATAGAGACCAATATGGTTCTAGGATAAGTTTGCACGTGAAAGGCATTTAAAAATATTGTAAGAATGTTTGTTCACTTAATCCTTACTAATATTATAAATGCGAAAGTAACTCTGTCTGTCTGTCAGTCTGTCTTTTTATTGCGTAAAAGGGGTTGAAAAGGTTAAAAGGGGGGTGAAAGTTTGTATGGAAATTTGTGGTTTTGAAGCTAGAACAATTAAACTTTCTTCTTTGGCTTTTTGGGAATAGGAGTGGGAGTGAGAGTTAGAGTAGGAGTGATGTGAGGTGCGGCAAAGTAGCACTTACAACATAGATTGGCTGCGATAAATGCGCAATTACATAAATTAATTGCGCATTTAAAAAAAAAATTAAAATTCTACCCCAAGTCACTATTCCACGCGAACGTAGTCGCGGGCACAGCTAGTAATGTATAAACTGGAACCCCTTGCCTGTCTGTCCTTCTTCATCATAAAAATATATGACATTGAAAACTTAAGCAGTATATAGTAAAACTTATAGGGGCGAATTATGTACTATGCAAAAAAATAAGTATCTTTTATTAGGTTATGTTAAGCACAGTCTGATATTTAAAGACTTGTGTTATTTATTTACAATTTTACAAATTGTTTCACAATATAAGAAAATAGTAGGTACCTTAAGAATTAGTGACAACGAATTTTTTTATAAAGGACCACTGTCGGAGTATTAAAATATCTTCACATTGTTTAATGTAAACATGCTTTCTCAAACAGTAAAATGATGCCAAGCGGGAGTCAAACAAAGGTCTACTAAATCGGGGTCCCTTAATATGTTCGTTTTGCATATTTTATCAATTATTACTTTTGTGTCGGACCTTCTAACGACATACAAATAGGTTGTTTATTAAGAAACCGCTGAGTTTTTAATCTTTTTCACATTCTTGTTTTGACGCAATGAAAATGATTTATTTCGAAATAAGACCTACAAAAATACAAAACAGTATAAGTATATATAAGGATTAAAATAGAATAAAGTAAATAAAAGTCAATTAGTATTCAAATTCTAGTATAAGTATTTTCTTATGTGAAGCGTCACATAAGAAGCTAGAGATCTGAAAAGAAATACTCGTAGATATTAAATTAAATATTAAGTTATCATCAAATAGTATTGAAGGTAACAAAAGAATAAAGATAAGTATATAAATTGGAAGATACGTACAGTGGCATTTTCGTGGTTCGAAATTCAAAAACTCCTAATCGCCAATACCCCACGTATCCATATTGATTAGTGTATCTGCAGCGATGGAGGTAACCTAGACATTAAATAATGTTTGAAGCGCATGCCAACTTGTAATAACTTTCATCCAATAATAATCAATCCGAACTTCGTAACTGTCCCAGTTAGGGCAAAGTAGTATGCGACTAAACAAGTGGCCTCACGTAAAAGCTCGCGGGGACAATTTGGTAATAAGGGGCAGGCAGTGCCTGGTGCAGGCCGACTACTTATAACATAGTTTAATTTATTTGTGGATTCCGCCTTGTTTGGAAGCCATTATGTCGGTGTCATTGATCTACTAATAATTTTGGAGGCGACTTTTTTAATGTCGTTCAGCGTAATTAAATTGAATTGAATTATATCATACTTTAACTACACGTATGGTAAAGGGGTATATGATATTATGAAGTATTATTAATAACTAAGTACTATAAATTGTGTAACGTACAAAAGTTATATAAACCTCATGGACTCCATCATCTAAAAGCTATGAAATGATCCGTGAAGTATCTACGTTCGATAATTTTATGAATTTCACGAATTGATTGTTTGAAAAATAAAATCGATCACGCGGAGAAATCCAGCCAGACAAAAACGCGCCATTTTTCAAATATATGTTGCTAGTTACGTTACACGTACGTTGCTGGTTCTAGATCCGCTTATGTCAATGTGCCATTATAATTTTAGCCAAATATGTATAAAATAATGATTTCTCTTTAAATTACCAAAGAAATGTTCTCAACAATATATGTCTATCCTTTGAGATTAACTCGCAAAAAGCGTTCCTATGGTCGAAAGTAATGCTAATTACCAATTATTTAGTAGATTTGTATCAACTTAATAATATTATTTTTTATCCAAATATAAATTGCTTATGATCAAAAGAATTTTACTGTGAACAAAACTTTCTTTGAAAACCACTTAACTGCAATCAACATCTTAACTATAACTACTCCAAGCGAACGAAGGCGCAGGCCCAGCTAGTTCATAAACAGGCGCGCGTATGCAACAACGTGGTAATATTATAGATATTTAACTATCGTATCAATGCGAAGGTTTATAATTTAAATAATAATAGCTACCTAAACCCAATAGTTCTAGTATATCAATAACAATTCTTCGAATAAAATAAACAATTAATTGATTAAAAATATAACTTGTTACAAAAAGCTCTATTCAAATCCAATATTGGAACATGACTAAGTAATCGGCGAAGAATGAATTTAATTTTTCCACCGCGTAATATTAGCTATTTGAAAGCTTTCAAAGCGCGATTTTTATAGTAGTGGATAACACTGTCTTGAACAAGAAATAGTAGAAAGAATCGACATCTAAAAATAGTACCTCTCTCGTTCCGTAATACAATATTTATCGCAACAACATGTACTTTCACTTATCACGTACATACATCTAACGAATACTCCTTTACTTTAGAAAACCTCAATTTTTCCACAAGAAATAAAAATGACACGATCGGGACTTGAACCGGCATCCACAACATTCCGTGCTGCTCTAACCAAATTCCCAGCAACCCATTGATACGTGTACCTATCGCGCAGTAACTTTAATACTTACACGAGTCCCGCCTATGACGTCCTTCTTTTCAATCTAAATAGATTTATAATCTGTCTTACTTCCTTAGAGGACCTCTTTTCTCCTCCCTTGGAGTCTATACTAGACAGATTCTAATGAAGACTCCAGTCGTTTAATAAACGTACAAAATATTAAACTGCAACTCAAAAATACCTAAATAGCAAAGCCGTTAACTAAATAAGTGAATTCATAGAATGAATATTTATTAGTATAAATCATTACAATCATAAAATGCATTCCTAACTTGCCCACCTCTCAGAATCTGTCCTAAATTGTTCAATGTTTACGTCATGAATTCAAGTACTGAATAAGTGAACATACTCACAGACAAACGTTAAACCATGTTTATTATTTACAGAGTAAATATTTATAATGTATAAATGTAATTGCTTTCACAAATGAGTACAGAAATAATATTTAATCTTATTAAAATTGATTTATTAATCAAGATGAGAAGAGAAGAAGAAAGTATATTTAGCATAGTATCCTTAAGTTTGAAGTGATAGCGGTGTGACTCGAACCTGCGAATACTGTTATTTACGGATTGTGTTTTATTTTGTATTAATAATTTCATGGCGGAGATTAAACCGTTATGTTAATAACGAGTCACGGCACCAGATTGCCTGGGTTATAATTTTATTATATTATATATAATAATTAGTTTATTATTTCTTCCGGACGTTTCAAGACGCACGGGTAAGTTTTTAAACTTAGATGTATCTTAGCTACAAGAATTTTAGCACACACGCTCACTTGATAATAGGTCGACACTATATCTTATGTTGATTTAATATGCCTGAGGTTTTAAAACTTTCATCAGCTTTTTATATTTGTTTGACTGCTTCTGTTGTAAAAAAAACTTACTTATATAATTTGTTTACTATTTTCTATCCATCGTGTAGGTAGTTTTAAATAAATTCAACATATTCGTAGTGGCGTATATAAAATAGTTATTTAAATGTAGCAAAACGATACCCGATGTTGGCACGCTGTAAGTTTTAAATGCTAACAGCTCTTTTAACTGGAAACTTGGACCTATTTAAAATACAGCGATAAGTATATCACGTAGGCCGACAGCGCCGGCTGAATTTTAACGATACAAAGGTGTGTTTCTGAAAATGTTTTACCGAGAAAAAATCTACAGGCAAATCTCTATGCTGGGGCGCGTTTTTCTTACATATCACGGGAGATTTATGAAAACATGTTTGTATGACTGTTACGTGGCGCTGTGGCGATGACAGGCCGCGAATTTGTGGCTCGTAATAATTCAATCGTTTGTCGTTTTCGAGCTTGATCCGTTTTGATTTGTGCATATTATGAAATCGAATTATAGAATATGTTATGTCTGTACAACTCAGTGGTCTCTCGACTCGAATGCTCTGACACAATATCTAGTAACAGAGATTAGAAGGTTTATTTTTGTTGAACCACACACTACTAGGCCATATGAGTCTTCGATCCGACATCGATTTTTAATAGGAATTATCGCGCAAACTTTTCACCTCGCATGTAAATAGTATGCGCGAAAGTTTTGTTTTAATACATGAATATAAACAGCAAAGCGTTAGCGTAACATGTAAATAATCAAAGCTAATAAAAGACAAACCAATTAGCTGCAGTTATACACTGAATAACTTGAAGTTTTGAAAGTTTCGCTGTTGGTTTAAATGTTCGTATCACTGTGTAAATTCACAATTGAAGCCGAGCTTATGCGACAGCTAACGCCATCTATTAGCGAAGCGCTAAAAATATTACTTATGAAAGTTTAAACTGTAGTTTCCAATGTTGGGACAATGTACAATTATATATACCCTGCCTCAATGCCGCTGTATATCAGCTGTAAAACACGTGGTACGGTTTTATGTATTGAGGTCCTGTTTTGGGATTCTGGGGAGAAAAAACGTGTTGCGGTCGGGATATGCGTAAAATATATGTATGATTACGAAATGATTATGCTTATACTTATCGACACTTTGTTATTGTTCACAGAATCATGCGGTATTGATGACTTCAGATGTGATGATGGAAAATGCATAGAAGGATACCGGCGCTGCGACCGCGTGGTGGATTGCGCGTCCAGCGAGGATGAACAAGCCTGTGGTGCGTTGGGCCTGGTTGACTTTAGTAAAAAACGCGCTTCACCAAAAGAAATCCCCCCTATTTTAGTATTTAAACTGCACTGTTGACCCCAATTGCTGCTGATGTTCGTAAATCCTTTTGCTAAATAATTAGCGTCCCTCATTATTTCTCGATAAATTAACTGTATTTTGGGTCGCAGACTTCATTTTAAATTTTCAATGATGCACAGACACCCATGCGATAAATGAAACTCGTACGAATTAAAATATAAATTTTAAAGAAATATGCAACGCTACAAAAATACTCATCAGTTTATAGTAATAATTAGTGTCGCAATATCTTACCAAGGAATCTAACTTTAATCTTTTCATTCATCCATATTGTATTATTATCACAATTTTATATATATATATATAAAATGTAATCTAATTTCAGATTGTAGACCTGATGAATTCCGTTGCTTAGTTGATGGCTCCTGCATAGAAGACAGGAAGCGCTGTGATGGCATCAACCATTGTTTGGACGGCTCTGACGAATACGATTGTGGTACGTAGAGGAAGAGACCGATCATCAAATACTGCTTTGTCTTAAAGGATTAATCATATACCATTTCCTTCATGCTTCTTTTCTTGGAACGGTAAGTCTCTCGTTTACTAATCTGGTCTGGGCATCACGTTTGCAAGGATAGAGGAAAGTTCCACTGTCGTGATGGTACTTGTATATCTGTACTATTACGATGCGACGGTTTCCGAGACTGCCGCGATGGCAGCGACGAGTTGGGATGTCGTAAGTGTCTATTCGGCTTCTGGTATCTAATGTTCAAGAGATATACATAACAATAACCACTTATTATAAAGCATGCCGCTCTAACCAATGGCAATGTGACCATGGTAGCTGTATTAAACGAAGCCAACGCTGTGACGGCCGCGTCGATTGTCCAACTGATAAATCGGATGAAAGGAATTGCGTTGGTAAGTGAGAAATGGTATTAAACATTTCATAGGACAATAGGAGCTTTCATTCGAATTCATGGTTCGAAATTTCTTACACTATTCAAGTATGTGAATCACAATTTATCACATGTTATGGTCATATTTGAATGCACATTTCCTAGTACCTCTAAATACCCCTTAACAGTATATTTATTTGACACAGATTATTTATGTAAAAGTTGTATTTACTTTAACATATCACGTCCCAATGGTAATGTTGCATGTAAATTAAGAGGTTAAATTCATTAGCTTTGCATGTATTTACAGCAAAGGGATACTTTAGATGCAGAGGTGGCAAGTTAATACCCGAAAGCGCGAGATGTAACCGTCGATACGATTGTGACCCTGGAGATTATTCCGATGAACAGTATAATTGTCGTAAGTTCCCGCTTATTCGGTCATCTGTTTCTGTTACTTCTTCGTTTCAATGTTGTTTCACTTCTCATCTCGTGATATAATTCTCTCATTGTTTACTCTTCGTTTCTTCTTTTATTCTCGGTAGTTTCTTTCGATGTTCATTTTTATATCGTTTAGTGTCAATCGATGCTTCATCATCTAACAGACTCTTTTGTTTCTCTAAAACAGTATTATCAACTTCATCCAGTGTCTCTCAAATTCAGATTTAGATTTTTTTGCCCGTCAGCATGTGGTGATGGCGACTTCAAATGTGACAATGGCTTCTGCATTCCCAGATCGAAACATTGTGACAGAACGCATGATTGTCAAGATGGTTCTGATGAACGAGATTGCATTTATGGTTTGACCTTTTTTCAAAATTTAACTTGCGAGTCTAAATTAAAGTGAAATTCCATTATAAATATTGATTCGGTAATATCGAAAGCTTTGTATAATTTGGCCCCATAGTTGAGCATGAAGATGTCGAATGATGTATTTGCTTGATTGCATTGCATTGCACCAAGATTTATAAAATTTATTTTATCAAGAAATTCGTAGTGCAACACTAAATATGCCTACACATTAAATCTTTCCGACTTACATTTCGAATAATACGAAAAGGTGTTCGCTTATTGTGTATTGCATTTTTGGTGCTGACACTATTTTTATACACCAAATAACACCAGACTTTTATAATATTGCATTTTAACTTTATTTTATTATGGTTACGGTTATGCATTATATACAGGCTCCATATGCATGGCTTATGAATATAAATGTTCGAGCGGACAATGCGTTCAGGCCGAATCTCGGTGCAACGGGACAGTGGAGTGTGACGATGGTTCGGACGAAAAAAATTGCCCATGTAAAAGGGATCAATATGAATGCCGCGATGGCACATGTATTAATATTGCAAACCGTTGCAATGGCCACAGAGATTGTCGGCCAAACGGTGAAGACGAAATTAACTGCGGTAAGTATTCTGGCCGAATAAGCTTACGGAGATCACATACTGTAACTCTTCTTAAATATATCTTTGGGAACGTTCTATGTAAATTAAGCACTTGCATGTTTTGTATGTTTACATGACTATGTCAATTTTGCATGCTCTCAATTACACCAAGAGCTACAATGTAAGTATTTAAACTGTATTTTTTTAGAGACTCGTACCTACTGTTGCGTAGATAGAAGTTATTTACTACTTATAATCTATGTATCATTGAACTTTGATCTTGTCGTAATCTTCTAAAAAAAACCTTCTTGTTCTTATTAAAGTGTTTTTTAATTGTAACTAATATATGAATTACACAATTTGGTTCTAAAAGTTATAGTTTGCATTGTGCTAATTTAAAAGTAATATTTACCTTTTCTTTATTTTATTGAAATGTTTTAATGAGTGCCATTATCTAGAAGATGGATCCTAGATTTACTGATTGAAAGCTTTTATTTATGTAATTTCTCACACAGTCTTAACGAAAGTTCAATTCAAGTGTTATAGCTAGTTAATAACATTGAAACCTTATGGAAAGTAACAGGTTCTGATTTCTTTCAGAAGAAGTGCGTTGCCCTGCAGAAAGCTTCACTTGCGATCCTAGCTCCAGCGTACCTTGTGCGTCACGCTGCGATGGCATCCCAGAGTGCGATAATGGTGAAGATGAAGATGGTTGTACTGGTAATTACTCTCTTATACTTCTATCTCCAATGGTTTTTAAGGAAAAATATTTCATCTCTAAAAACTATTATGCGGTAATTTGAGATATTTCTAATCGCAAGGGAAAGCTTACCTAATTTCGGTCCTAGAACCTGGGTTTAATATTGAATATAAAAAGGACAGCCTGTGAGCAATGATGATGAAAAATATCGTTAATAAGATTCGATGTTGAATCTTAATATATGTTCTTTAAAGTATATTATTTATAGTTTACACTGAGTCTATAGAACTTATCTCAGTGTACTAGTTTAGCAATTTTTAGATTAAAGATTTATTTAAATAGAAAAAAGCTTTGCGTTCCATTATAAGTTGTAGTTACTCTATTATGATTAACTTTTATGCAAACTTCAGAATGAAGAAATATTTTGTGTTAAATATTATTCTGTATCTTTGATTGCGAATTCATTCTATGTACTGCAGCTTTACGCAACGCGACTTATACTGTTCTTTTAATTTAAGTGAAGTACATTTAAGTTATATTCTAAAAATTAATCCTGTTTGCTTTAAAGATTGCGCGCACAAATGCGACGGCAGATGTATTGAAGAACAACAAATTTGCGACACGATCCCCGACTGTTCCGATGCATCTGATGAGATCAATTGCAATAATTGCGATGGACCGAACGACTTCAGGTAATGTTTCTAAAATGCCTATTTAATGAGTACGGTAAGTAGCTTGCGATATTGCTCATGCGTAAATGCGAATTAAATAATGTTTGCTAAGCGATCTTTTAGACATGTTAAGTACTAAAGAGACTTTTGGAGGTGGTTCTAGGCATTTACAAAATAATATTTTGTCCATAGATGTAGAAATGGCGAATGTATCAAAGCATCTCAACACTGCAATGGAGTGGCGGAATGCGCCGACGCAAGTGACGAGTTGCAGTGCAATGATACTATGACGACTGGACCGCGTAAGTTTCAAACTTTTGATATTAAATTGTTGAATATTTAAAAAATTATAAACAATCATCCTTACGTTCATTCATGCTGGAGTCACCAAAGACCATATGATCAGTTGTGTCGGTCATGTAAGTTTAAGCTCCGTAGAAATTCTTAGAGGAAATGCATATTTTGGGCACGTTAGTCTAATGTCAAAATAAACAACCGATTTTGGGTTCAATGAACAATTCTCCACCAAACCCATCAATTTATACATTTTCTGAACTATTTCGGACTTCGTCTGGAAATCTGGACATTAAATGAGTGGTGAAAATTCCATCAGGTTACCGAATACCCTTTACAGATGATAAAACCATGAGGTTTTCTGCTCTCGTTTTTACGAGAATTACAAATTAAGGCGCTAGTGCATCTTGTCATCGTGTTAACCAGATGCTAATCTGTTCTCCCTTAACATAAAAAAATATGTGACAGTGTATTCCACTTCAAACTTGTCTCGCCCTGCCTCTCCTGTTATAAAAAAGTAAAATTGATAAATAAGATATTGAACGCGAATTTCTTAACATATATAGTTTTATTCTTTTAGTGCTCTGCTACGCCAACCAGTTTCAATGCCGAAACGGCATGTGCATAGACAGCCAATTCTTCTGCGACAATCACGCAGACTGCACAGACAACTCCGACGAAGAGAATTGCCGTAAGTATATCGTTATATCTCACGACCACTGCAACAAAAACTAGTGTAAGCACAAACGTCGCATCACGGAGCACTGAAATGCTTGATGCAAATAAGCACAGACACGCAGCAAATCTTTACACAGCACGCAATTAGTATATTTCTATTAAACGTCTATAATCTGGTACACCTAGCGATGCTGTCTCTTGATTGTCGTAATTTATTTAAACGTGAATGGGGCATACAGCATGGTTCATGAGGCCGTCCCGCTCGCCGATTGAAACAACAACGTGCCACGAATCACAATTTACCTGTTACGATGGCAAGTGCATACCACATCTGCGACGATGCGACAATATCTATGATTGTATGGACTTCTCTGACGAACAAAACTGTTACAACTCCGGTACACGAATGTCAAATTGTAACCCCCAGTTGACCGCTACGTTATTTTAGGCGCCTTTAGATTTCTGGAATTCTCTTATTAATTTTCTCGCATGTTCTATGAAGTGTACGTAGTTCAAAATTGTTTTTGCGTTCATTTTGATTTGCGGAAATGTTCTCCTCGTAATTGTTGGTTTATCTAGTTTTTACGCATGTGAATGATGTCCGGTATGGGATTGCAGATTCGCTTTCCAAATGTCCTTTTTGAAATCATTTATTTATAATATGCCCAAAATTAATAACAAATTTCGTAAAAAAATTGCCTATAAATAATAATTTAGTTATAAACTGTAAAAACTTTAGCGGCCATTTTATAACACTATTTGGCTTGTGGAACTGCTCGTCCGTCGTAATTGACAACGTTTCTCATTTACGACAGCCGAACAGCGAGTAAAAGGGGTAATAGATGAGTTTTTAATAGATCCTTTTAGATAACGTATAGATATATTATGTTATTAACTTTGGGCGGTAGAAATTTATGTTTCGTTGTTTTAAGACCAATATTTTTATAGCTTGCGACGCGGGTTACTGGCAATGCCGGACAGGACAATGTATTCTTGACTCTGAGCATTGTGACGGCAGCGTTCAGTGCAGCGACGGCTCTGATGAGTATGACTGCCCCACCACGTACCGGCCTTTCATTACGGAGCACCCGTTTACTGTACAGCCACCAGTGAAGCAGCCCCCTCAATACTTCACAACAACTCCTGTGCCATATTTCCCTCCATATGTTCCGGACAACAGAGGTAAAAATACTTTCCTATCAGCTTATATGCATTTAAGATAATTTAAAAAATACTAAGAGTTTACCATGTCTCGCTGACGCCATCCAATCTTTCGCGAGATATAATCACAAGTAATTAATTTAAAAATATAATTGTTAAATAAAATTGTTTTTGTCTATTAAACTTTTGGTCAATCCCACTTATTAGAAGCAATAACATACCTATAGGAAAAGGTAAACAGTTTTGTAAGTATATCGGATTCTAAGTAAATCTTCATCTACAGTAGAGATATGTGAGAGAAACCAATGGCGTTGCGAAAATGGGCCTTGTATTGATGCGTTTCGACGATGCGATGGTCACGTGGATTGTCCAAGAGATGGCAGCGATGAATTCGATTGCCCACCAGGCAGTAAGGACATAAAACTACCGTCACTAATCAACTGACTGATAAATCTAATTGCACTCAAACAGTAACCATAATAACTTATATTTAATAAAATAATCACTTATATCACGGGGTAATGAATAATGTCTAACCTAACCTAACTATAAAGGTAAATAAATAAAAATATAAAACTTATACCTAAATGGAGAAGGCATAATGGGAGGGATATGTTTTTTTTATTGTATAAAGCTTTTGGGTTTTCGAGCTATTCGGCCGTCGTAATCAAGAATTTGCTATCGACGTTTCGCCATCATGATTGAGTTGATGTGTCATCAAGAGATGTTGCGTTCCTTTCAGAAATCTTTCGCTTAGTAGAGAAACGCGTATTTTGATGATGTCATTGGAAATAAAAATAAATATAAATCACAATAAAATTTATAATTTTAACGAGACTGGGGATTTACTATATTTATATTTAACCTGGGTTATACACATACAACACCTTACACTAATATAACTAGAACCACAAGTGATTAACACTTGTGGTTCTATCTATATTCTTCTATTAAATAAAAGGCTAAAAATAACGTATTAACTTTTATATTTTCAGGAACTAACTTAACTTGTACAAACTAATATAATTAAGTATGTTTAATTCGGAGAGCAATAATTTTGAACAGAAGATTTGTGCTGCTAGAGTAATATAAATTGAAATAGAATAAAAAAATATATTTATTACTATCAGGCAAAAAAACACTATGTTATAAAAATAATAATATCTCAACTAGCCCAAAAGTTAAATAAAAATAAAATTTAAAAAAACCCTTTGATTTTCACTACTAAAATATATTCTTATTTTAGGTCCCGTGGCTCTGAATTTGAAAAGCTATCCAGAGGAACAAACAGTGAGAAACGGTAAGCCTTTTTAACTATAATATGTCCTAACAATATTTCTTTTTCCTTTATGAGAGTATTACTCAAACTTTTGTTTCTCAATAAAATTACTTATTTGGAGGTATGTATGTTGAGTACGTATTAAAATCTCGACACATCGTCATTTTGTATACCAAAAGATCATAAGAGAGGTTCAAAAGATGACAAATGTCCAAAAGAAAACTGAGTTCAGGTCTAGCGTAGCAGCCTAAAAATCTCTAAGATCGCATATCACCTATAAAAAATTGTGACTCCGCAGTGCGCATGAATTCTTGGATTCGAATCCCAACGGAACAAATTAAATAAATTAAAGGGGCAAAGTACAGTATTGTCTTAACACTTACAAGCATATTTGTTTGTTGTTAATACGTAGGCACAGATGTGTCTGCCTTACGTCCTATGTTCTCCAAAAAATACTTCAATTTACATGGACAACATATTGATAGGTATATTTTATTGACGTAATATTTTGCGAACAAACATTAAGTTTTTCTGTTCGAGTTTTCCAAATTTCTAATTTAAAAGACTTTAACGGTTTAAAACGCGATATATTAGTTAAACTTATTTGAAAATGATTTTTAACTTCGGCCCGACGTTTCGGATTCTTTGCAGCAGCCGTGGTCACGGGGAGACCGAAGTTAAAAATCATTTTCAAATAAGTTTAACTAATATATCGCGTTTGAAACCGTTAAAGTGTTTTATTTAAATGTGTACTACTCGCATAAACTATAGACAGTATTTCTCTAATGTTTTCTACAACTATGTAGATATCTAGATTATTTAAATTCTCATAATTCTTATTAGTTTTCTTTATCTAACATTTTGGTGGCGGCTACCAGAGGAGTTTTAGGTACAACAACATTATCTGTTCAATTATTTTATATAAAACTCTATCTTACGAATTATTGAACACGTATTAATTTCTTTGTTTCTTTCATGGTGGTGGTACAGCCAATTATGGTGAGTCAGGGCTAAGTATTTTTGGGTGCACTCACATTCGGCACATTAAAATACTCACTGGGTCGAAATATAATATTTATTTATTATTTATAACGTCATAACCATACATTGTTGACATAACTTTTTCATACTGAGTTTGGAATTTTTGAACAATTCGGGTCGACAGTGCTATTGTTCATAACAACAAATGATGTCAACGGAATGTTGACGGTCAATGGCCCTATAAAATAGCTATAACTATATTTTTATTATAATATTTTATATACACATCGGTATCTTTTAATTAAATCTGCATGAGTTAAATTATATTCATAACAGCTAATGAGTGAATTGAAAGGTATTTTTAATTTAATCGCACAGTTTTCATGAGGGTTTTATAATACTGACTAACTGTATAATTGGTTTTTTTTTTTATTAATAAACCTTTACCTTAAAAAAGAAGAGGTCGCAAAAGTGTTGCAAGTATGATGATACATTTTGGAAGGTTTAATATTTTTTCATTGAATGGTAAAGGGTATGGGTGCACTTTAGTTTATTGGAACATATATTAACTTCAAAGTTTGGTATAGGTGGTGACGTGGTCTTCTCTTGTCGTGACGAGGGGCCGCTCAGAGCTCCAGTCAGATGGGTGAGAGAAGGCGGCAGATCTCTTAAGCCCGGTTCAGTTGATAGGAACGGTCGGCTCGAAATGAACCATGTCACCGTAAGTATTGAACCGCCAAGTAGCGGACAGTTATTTACGATCCAAGTTCCTACACAGGCATGTGTAATTTGTAATTAACCTCTAATAATGTGTGTGTATACAGACAGCGGACAGCGGTGTTTACATTTGTCAAACACCCAGATACTTGGGTACCCCAGGATCAGAATTGAGAGTCATTCTTAAAGTAGAGAGTGCTCGTAAGTACTGAAACATTTCCAATTTATACCTTGAACCCTGTTTGCTAACATTTAGAGCCATTATAAAGCAACAAACAAATATTTCAGCGATTACCTTCAGACCACCATTTTTGGCATGCCAACACAACGAAGCGACATGTGCAAGTGGACAGTGTATACTCAAATCAGCTGTTTGCGACGGCAGAATTGATTGTGATGACGGTTCTGATGAAGACACTTGCGGCCATAATGGAATGTGTCAACCTAATGAATATCAGTGCGCGAACAACAAGTGTGTCCTTAAGACCTGGTTCTGTGACTCCGATGACGATTGTGGAGATGGGTCTGATGAAGCGAATTGCGGCTTATCGGATTCAGCCCAAAACTGTAGCCGGACTGAATTTGAATGCGCCAGCAAGAATCAATGTATACCCAGAAGCTTCCATTGCGACAGGCAGAGTGATTGCCTTGATAGGTCTGATGAAATTGGATGCGGTAAGTTCTATGTAAAACCTAGTATTAGAAAGGCTAAAATGTATTACATGAATGTCAGACACACATAAAATCGATTCTTCGAAAAGTTTCAGATTTGAAAAAATCTGAAACTTTTCTAAGAATTAATTCGATATAGTTCATACACCTAAATGACACAACCCCTTTCTTTTTTTTTTTTTTCCATTGAACTTTTAGCAAATACATTGAAGTAAATTATAATTTGATTCAAATTATAAATTTATCACCCTTCTTCGAGATCTTTATACAATTATTTAACAAAACATTTTTTCTCTTTCAGCGCCTGTTCATGTGACGCGGCCTCCCGCACCAGCGTATGTAAGACTGAACCCAGGTGATACTCTGAGTCTAGTGTGTGAAGCAGTAGGAGTTCCAATGCCACTAATATCTTGGAGGTTGAACTGGGGTCACGTACCACAAAAGTGTACCTCCACTAGTGAAAATGGAATTGGTACACTCACCTGCCCGGATATGCAAGTAAGAAATAAATTCAGATTTAAAATGTTTCCTCTAAACGAGAATCCTTTTAATTGTCAATTATATATTTGCCTTAGGAGTTTTATTTTAAAACTTTTTTAAATTTGTAGACGGAAGACAGTGGTGCGTACTCGTGTGAAGCTATTAACAATGGTGGAACAGTTTTCGCCGTACCAGACTCCATAGTTTACGTCAACAGGTCTGAAGCCCTCTGTCCGGCCGGATACTTCAACAGGTGAGATATTTAAGATGTTGAATCATCAGTTTCTTAAATTACTGTGGATGAAAATGCAACACAATCTTAATTACAGCGAGGCACGCTCTCAAAGTGAATGTATTCGTTGTTTCTGCTTCGGAGAGTCGACCACTTGCAAGAGCGCAGACTTGTTCACGTACAATATGCCCACGCCGCTTGGAGAAGGTGGCACCAGACTTATCGGTGTAAGCCAGGCCTACCAGGGAGATATTCAAATTGACAAACAACAGCCGATTAACAACCAATACTACTACCAGCCACTCCGTAACGGTGCTACAGTAAGTCTGTTATAATACATTTATAGTTATATTTTAAAGCTGGAGGGTTCGTTTGTTTGAACGCGCTAATATCAGGAACTACTGGGTCGAATTGAAAAATTATGTTTATGTTGCAACATATAATTCATTATAAGGGCTTAGGCTAGGCTATGGAACAGGCTGCGACCAATAGGAGCAAAGACACAGTGGGTAATGTAGAAAACACGGGATGTTTTTTATGATGTTGGTTTTCGTTGCGTGCTAAATCGGTTCTAGATACTAATAGAATAGCTTTACTACTTAGATAGAATTATTTTTATTTAAAATAAGTTGTCCGCGAACAAAATGTCTATCTTTTAAGAGCCCTTTATGTTACGTTATGTATAATATATAGGGTGTTGAAGATAAGGCATATTTACTTTACGAATAGCACAAATTTTAATCTCTTTCAGGTAACAAAATTGGCGGACTTCAGTCCTGCATGGTCAAGGAATACTCTCAATGCTCACCCATACTTAACTCTACCGGAGACCTACAATGCCAACCAACTTACATCATATGGTGGTTATATTAAATATAGAATTTCACCACATAATCCCCAACAATACGAATACGATGACAACCTTGCTGATGTTATTATTATTGTAAGTGAAACTGCTTAACTGAATTTTGTTTGTAACCATACTTAATGTGAATAAAGGCTAATTTTAGTTATTCATATTTTTGTGGTCAAATCCAAATTATATTTTTTCAGGGAAAATACCAAACTCTTCTGCATCAACACCGTGGTGATCGCGACCGCAATATTGAAATTGAGGCACGCTTGACTCCAGATAACTGGATGAAGCCAAGCCCACGTGGGCAAATTCCAGTCACAAGAGAGGATATTATGATGGCGTACGTATCCAATATTATTTACAAAACATTGTTGAAATAAAAATATTTTATTACTTTATTTATATTTCCTTAGTTTTAATGAAATTAAGCCACTCGTTTCTTTGATCTTCAACGATGTAACTCTTTTTTATCTCAACCCTTAAGAACTAACATAGTGTAACCTTCACCTAATCTTATTTATTATAATTAGATTGGACGACATTGAAATGATATTACTTCGCGCTGACCTGAACAACGCTGGTGTTAACATCACAGACTTCACTATGGAGTCAGCACAGCACATAAACGTTGGTCTTGGGGCTGCTAGCTTAGTTGAGGAATGTAGTTGCCCACCGGGATACGAAGGCTTGTCTTGTCAGGTATGGTCAAAATATGGCACTTATCATATCTTTTCTCATAATATAAATACAGATTAATTTAAAAAATCATAAAAAGTGACATATTATAAAATTAAGCTTGTGATACAAATAATTAACAAAAGAAACTTGAAAACGCGTTTCTCTCTATTAGGTTGAGAAAGATATGAATTTCCCGCGGTTTTTTTTTATGTTGACTCTGTAGTTTGCATATTCTATGTTTCGATTTATAGTTAATTGTCAAATATTGTGCGTGATAAGGTGACAACTGTAATATATTTATTTCAAACTTTTGACAGTTGACATCTATATCAGTTTTTTTTTAAATACTTGTTTGTATTATAGTATTATTAATATTTTTCTGATTTATGTAATAATACATAATAAGAACTACATATTAAGTAAACATGAATAACCAGTGGTGTTTACAATATACGTACGACGAGTACGACACATATAAGATTAAAGGTTCTGGGCTTTTTTCTTTTTCTTTTAAATGTCTCGAATTGCATTGCAAGTGAAGACTTTCTTGAAAAGTGAGTTAAAATGTCGGTATATCATTGTCCTTTTCAAACTATAAAACTTCTTAAAACACACAACATATTATTTCAATTAAAAGTTTGCTCTGGTATTACGGTTCTTATAGGCTTGTTATTTTGAATACATTAGGACTCCTTAATTATTGTATGTATACTTTTAATTGCATTATTTCCTTTATTTCTTCCAGAAATGTGCATCGGGATACATAAGAGAAAGTTCTGGCCCCTGGCTGGGATCATGTGTACCCAGGCGGGCTTGCCCACCAGGCACATATGGCGACCCTAACAGCGGCGGTGACTGCAGACCATGTCCATGTCCGCTAACTAACAGAGAAAACCAATTTGCTAGAACTTGCTCACTTGGTCCCAGTGGAATTGTTATTTGCGACTGTCAACAAGGGTAAGTATTGAATAATCACCTATCAAGTAGATATCTTCCGATAAGCTATACAAATCAATTATATCATTTGCTTGTAAAAAAATTTCGCTTCCCAGACAATAAGTTGTAATAGAAAATACATATCAGAGTACTTGCCTTTCTGGAGATTTGAAGAGATTGCATAAAATATATTATTTTTATCATCATCCACAAATTTTTAGCTATGAAGGAAATGACTGCAGCCGATGCGCTCCCAACTATTTTGGAAACCCATTGATACCTGGGGACTCTTGTAAGCCAAAACCATCTGACAACTGCAATGCATTAGGAACAGCACAAGTAAGATTGCCAGATGAGTGCGTCTGCAAGGACAATGTTCAAGGAAGATACTGTGATCAATGCAAAGCCGGAACTTTCTTCCTTTCCGATGACAACCGGTAACACTAGTTTTTGTCTTTTATATTTCAATTGACATATTAAAGCCTCAAGATTATGGCTTTACATATAAAAATTATAATTTCAGAGACGGATGTGCATCATGTTTCTGTTCAGGAGTATCACAACAGTGTATGAGCAGCAACCTTCGTAGGAAAACAACAAATGTTCGTTTCAATGTACCTCAAATAGTTGGCCAAGTTAAACTGTTCAAGAGTGCACCATTTGGTTCTGGTGGCACAGTTAGATACAATGCACCAATTGAAACTGACGCACAACCAGAGTTGCTTAGAGGAGAGATCACACTCAGCAGTTTTGATAGAGCACAGCCTTCAATATACTACTGGAGTCTACCTATTAGGTAAATTACCCCATAATCATTTCCTTACTTATTGTATACACCTGTTGCTTAGCATTGAGTTCAGAATGAGAGGTTTTACTCAAACCAAACAAAAGTTGCACCAAGTAATTACCTGTCTATTAAATTGATTATAGTAATACAATCATTTGATTGTGTAGACACCAAAAAATGTTTGCCCATGTACCACAAGGGAATGCACAATCTCATACTCTAGTGTACAGATAATGGTTAAACGTGATCCCAGACCTGCCTCAAAAGCATATCATGTGTTTAGTAGTTCTGGTTGGTTATTGTCTCCGAGGAGGTTGTAGTACGGAAAAATCGTAATCGTAATCGTCGTGGGGAGTGGGGTAAACCCCACGTCACTATTGCCCGACGTGGGCGTGTATTAGGCATTGACACCATTAGTTTAAAAAAAATGGACATAGGTCTACCTTTTTGTTTAAAATTTCTGAACCTAATTTATAATAAATCTATTGTTCAGTTTTGCTGGCGACAAAGTAACGTCCTATGGCGGTTTCTTGAATTATGAACTGCGTCACGTACCGGTCCCTGGAGGACAAGTGTCCAGGAACCATGCTGCTGATGTTCAACTGATTAGTGTATGTAATTGCTTATTTAAAATTTTGAGCTAAAAAACATAAAATGTATTATAAAACTTTATTTATGTTATTTATACAGGACAATAGACTGACCTTCAATTACTTTGGAAACTTTGACCCTGACAATGATGGATATCTGAATGCTAGCATACAATTTTTGGAAAAAGGATGGCAAAGGTATTATACATTATTATATATGGACTTGGGCGGCAACAAAGCCAACAGTTATTTGATTGTCTTAATCTATACTAATATATAGAGCTTAAGCGTTTGTTTGAACGGACTAATCTCAGGAACTACTGGTGGGAAGGCTATGAAACATTCCGCTGCGACTAATAGGAGCGAAGAAGCAGCAAATGTCGAGAAAACCACTAAAATTGATCCCTTTTTTTTGGGTTTCCGTTGCGAACCTGCAAAAACATTTCAAGAATGTATTAACGAAAAGATCCTTTGAAATTATCAAAAAATTTGTCCGCGACAGTATATGTCTATCTTTTAAGAAAACTTCCAAGAACGACGGGCTGTGACCGACGTCGTGGTTAACGACCGATTATAAATTACCGATGATAAATTAATAAAGACGAAGTGAAGGTTTGCAAAACCAAATTTGGATGCCCAAAACAACTACTCTGCGCGAACGAAGTCGCTGACACAGCTAGTAATATACATGCGGCAGCGTCAAAGCCAACGGCTATTGATTGTCTTTCTTTTAGAATAAGTTCAGAATTTCATCTATTTAACAGGCCTGATGGAAAAGAGGTTTCCCGAGAACACTTCCTTCTTGCTCTAGCAGATGTAAAGACTATTTTAGTGAAGGCAACATATACAACTAACACAGAAGTAGCTTCCGTCGTCAGTGCCAGTATTGAAACAGCTGAACCTGGCGGTGATGGTGCATTAGCTCAACACGTGGAACAGTGTGTGTGTCCTGGAGGTTATGTCGGGACATCTTGTGAGGACTGTGCTCCTGGTTTTACAAGGTATTAGCCTATCTAACCTATTCAATATGTAGCTATGTTGTCCGTTTTTACATAGAGATTACTTTTTCTCCAAAACGTTTTAAACTTACTTAATTTTACTTTAAACATATATATTTGATTTTGTCTTACAGAACATTGCGCGGATTGTACTTGGAGCATTGCGGACCCTGCGAATGTAACGGTCATTCCACCATGTGCCATCCAGAAACTGGTGTTTGTTATGTACGTAAAAAAACTGTAGTTTTTCTAATCTCAATACAGAGATTCAAATGTTACACACATATATTTACTCAGCTACATATTTTCTAACTATTAATTACCACATTGGTTTAATTGGTTAGTTCACTTGGCTGCAGATCTCTAGGTCACAGGTTCAAATACTGACTATCAAAAATTTAGTTTATAATTAGAATTTTTTAGAAAGTTAATTATCAGCCGAAATTCGATAGCAGGTCTTATTAGAGCATCTTCAACCAGCTGATAATCTTTCCAATGCGTACTGGAAAAGTATGGTGGACCTAAGCTCTTAAATCAAAGTTTATTAAAATATCTTATTATCATTGATTGCTGTTCATAGGATTGTGCCGATAATACTGCTGGGCCAAACTGTGAAGACTGCAGAGAAGGCTACGAAAGAGATGGGTACAACAATTGTGTCCCAAGCAGTTCAAGTACACCGACACCTTGCAAGTAAGTTGTCCAATTACTTAATTTACCAGATTTTTATAAGCTTTTAAATAATGTAAGTTCTTTTCAGTATTGCGGGTGATTTCATTGTCTTAGCTGGTAAAATGTTACTGCGGTTACCTAGGTCCTAATCTTGCTGTAGGTCTCGGGCAATTTTACAGTTTTAGAGAACACAGCGTTATTTATGAAAAACATTCTAGTTGGATTTGAATACATTAAGAGTGTGACACAAATAAATGTCTTTTTGTATTCCATGCCCTACATTTATGACATGACACTATTCAAGACAAAGAAAGTATGTGTTGTAATGCAAAGTTTATTTAATTTCAGCTGCGATCCTCGTGGTGAAGAAATGCCTTGCGATGAAGCTGGCCGCTGTTCGTGTAAGCAGAATGTAGAAGGGGAGACATGTAGCCGCTGCAGACCAGGAACGTTTGGCCTCGACGCATCTAACGCACTCGGATGCTTGCCTTGTTATTGCTCAGGAGTCACCAACAACTGTCATGAGGTGCGATTATTAAAATGTGTTTATATTTATTTTTGTTGCGATAGTCTTATCATATCGTGCAAGCCCTTGGTCAATTAATTTTAACTGACCTACACTAGATCCGTAGACGGACTAAATTCTTCTAAAGATCTGACCTGATTCTAACTTCTTTATTTCACAGGCCAGTCATTATACTAGAATACCAATGGCGGCACCGATTTTCGGAGAGAACTACGGTGGATACTCAATAACGGATTTAAATGGTGAACAAGTTATCAACGACCAATTCTTACCGGTTCCAAATGAAAGTGAATTGATGTACATCTTCTCAACTCCGCCAGCCGAAGAATTGTACTGGTCCCTGCCCGTATTCCCTGGTATGCTATTGTTTTATGAGTAGCTTATGTAATTCGCCGGAAAATGTTTATGATTTCTGACTTTCGTGTAAATCCATAGGTAATCGAGTCCTTTCTTACGGTGGATCGTTGTCGGTAACGCAGAAGTTCCAAACCGGCGGTTATCCAGAGGAATCTGCGCCTGGAACTGACGTGGTCCTCATCGGTGATGCAATATCAGTGTACTGGACCAACCCAACACCAATTAGATCTGGCGAATCTTTGGTAATTGTTTAATGTTTGAAAACTATAATATTTTTACATGTTATTGCACATTATGGCACTATATAGATTAAAAATCGAAAATAAATTGAAAAAAATAAATAAATACGGAACGCTGACGAGACCGGTTCAAATCCTGCCGAGTTTTTTTTTTTCAAATTATTTTCGATTTCTAATCTAAATTGTTTTATGCATATAATATCAAACAAAAATAACTTATGTGTAAGTAAATTGGTTTAGTTTATAGTATTAAAAAGTTATTGGTTTAACTACTTAATATTCCACGAACATCGTAACATAAAAGTCTCTTTCGAAGTGGAAGGGGGAGATTTAGAAAACCTTAATAATTAATCTTATAATTATTAATGTGAAGATGGGAGCCCAATTTTTCATAACAATTTCAGGCGCCAGTGAAAAATTAATTTATATGTGTTTAGCTATTGAACGATTATAATTATTATAAAAAATATATTACTACAATGTCACGAATATTTCAGAGTTACCAAGTTCCATTGCAAGAGAACGGCTGGTACATCCTCAATTCACCAAGACCAGCGAGCCGTCAAGACTTCATGAGTGTATTGAAGAACCTTCAACGCGTCCTCGTGAGGGCCACCCTTGTAGAGAAAATCACAGCTACCGCGATTGCCGACGTTTCCATGGATACGGCAGCTGAAAGCTTCGATTCTACTTCTCCAGTAGCAAAGAGTGTTGAGGTAAGTAGCATTGTAAAATATAAGAGCATCGAAAATCACATAATTACAAAAGCAAGTATTACCAAAGTTATGTATACGTATTACCTTTTTTATGATATATATCGCCTTCAAGACACCAACCTTATCAACGTCGTGCTTGTTGCTTTAGCTTGGGACTTCCCGTGCTTTACACAATGTTAGGGAGACCCCAATACGCAAAGTAAACTTTCTAGGTCTATAATCTATAAATACGTAATTATTTTCTTACTGTCTATATTTGTACATTGAAACAAACTAATTCCCGCTTAGCTTCCACACAACTCAAGAGAACAATAATATGATGTTTAAAAAAAAGTAGGGGAATACACAATACATATATCAAAACAAGAATAGAAGTAAATACTGTTTGAAGTTTACGCGAGTAGAACACGTTTAAATAAAACACTATCTATCAATTGCTGTAAAGCAACCGAAGCCTCGGACTGTAGTTAAAATAATTTGTTATTAAGTGTAATATATTCCGTGTGTCCAACTGTTAGAATAGGAGTGCTTAATTGGATTTTTTCAATATTACAGGTGTGTATGTGTCCCGAGGGATACTCCGGAACCAGTTGTGAAACGTGCAAAGCTGGGTACTTCAAAGACCAGAACGGGCTCTGCCGCCAGTGCAACTGTAATGGCCACGACTGCCAATTGAATAGCTACGACGAAGTTGAATGTAATTGCCGACCACCTTACACAGGCCCAGATTGTTCTACAGTCGGTTAGTATTGTTTATATCTCATATTATGATGATAAGATTGGAGCAACACTGTAGTCTCTTTAATAACTCCGCACCACTATATTTTTGTTACGTACATACACTTTTAAATACTCATATAGAAGTTAGTTACAGAATAAAACTTGGCAATAAGAGAATAGCGGCGAGTTTTTTGCCACTTCTTCGTTTTTGTAGTAATAAATATGATTTTTTAACTTATTTGTTTTAACGTACATACGTTGAATAAGGCTAATTAAATGACTAAATTGTGTTGAATATTCGTATAATATATTTAATTAAAACACGTTTAACGGTTCAAAACGCCAATTATATTAGTTGCATATGAGTTGTAAAGCGTCTAAAACCTCGGGACGCACCAAATAATAGTTTAACTGAAATATTTCACGTTTTGAACCGTTAATTGTGTACTACTTTCATAAACTACGGCTACTTGGAGTACTTCGTTTTATAAATAAATATGCCATAGGCGTTATAATGGAACTGCATCCGACCATACATGAAGACTACCACAACTCGATCTTAGTCGGGGTAACGTTTACCTGCAAATACCGAGCTCCAGAACCGCTAACAATTAAGTTCTTCCACGATGGAATAGAAATAAAGCCCTCGAAGCTATATAACGAATCGAAGCTGTATAAAGATGGTTGGCGAGGAGAACAAAGCTGGAAAACCATCTGGAATACAATCCGCGAAGGCGATACTTACGAGTGCCGGACTTTCACTAAGGGGGGATCTATACTAGGCGTTCTAACGACTACCCTACCAGAAAAAGGTAGTCAGAAAAAGCGCCATGTCTGTTTCGTCCATGCTTCGGTAGATCACTATGGATAACTCATTACAATCATCATGTAATAATGCCGTCATACAAATCTTGTAATGTCGTTTGTTCCTGTTTTATTTTCAGTGTAGTGTCCTCTTTATGTAATGTACTGTGTAAAATGTTCATTATTAATGTGATATTTTAAAGTTCTTAGAATCAATCATATTATTTCTTAAAAGTCACTTTATGGACTTAGTGTAAAGGGATCTGATATTATCGTAATTAAGATAATAATTTAAAAAAAAAAAAAAAAACTTTGACGGGCTCGTTGGTGTAACGGTAAATTTGTATGGTTAATACTCGTCGTGGGTTCGATCCCCATCTGATGCAACATGTTTCTAATTATGAAACATGTTTGACTTCGTCTGGAAATCTGGATATTTAATGTGTGATGGGAATATCGGCATTCCACCCGGGCTGCGGACTATCGTCCACTGATGAAAAAAGTTCAGTATAGTTTTCGGTTTCAGTCCGTGGATTTCCGAATATCCAAAGCCAACGTTGGTTGACAGCGCCTCTATTATATGGCTGAGATATCACCTACCATCAAGTGAATCCTTGCCTGTCTTCCTCTATATAAAAAAATCTAAGTTACCTTCTACCTAAGATATAAAAACCTTTTTGCAGGCGGTGAGCCCAGCATTGACCAAAACACAAGGCCACCACCACCGCAGAGCACAGTGGTTGTAAGAATAACTAGCCCAACCATCAAGATTGAAGAAGTCGGTAGTACAGTTAACTTCACATGTCAAGCCCAGAGCCGTATGGTGCGTGGACCACTCCAAATCAACTGGTACAAGGCTGATGGTGATTTGCCCCTGGACAGAACTCAGATTAACCAAAGAACTGGAATGCTGCTGATCACCAACCTTCAAATTTCCGACAGTGGAGTATATGTTTGTCAGACTTCTGATGGTATTTCTACGGATCAAGCTAAAGCAACGCTCAAGGTGCCAGGTAATACCAATTAACCAAATTTAAAATAAAGGTTATTTTTACACTATTTATATAAGTGATTACAGTAGAAAATCAAATAATGTTTTGATTGAATTTAATAACATCTTATAATTGATCTATGTTTTGACTTATGGAATAGTTGTACCGGAGCGAGTGTTCTATGCGAAAGGTAAATAGACAATGAGTTATATATCGTTTTAAATTTTCGAACTATTAATATCCTACCAATATTCTATATGAAAACGTTCAGGAATGTTTTAAATACCTCATATACTTGAACATATAAGGCCGCTAGTGGCACAGTGGCCTAATAACTAAAAACATGATTTTCAATACGGAGGAAAATAAATGCGGAATTCACTGACGCGCAAAATAAAATTGTACATTATTTGTGTAAGAATTATGTTAACAATTTTTCGGTCACTTTGCTCTTGTAGATTAACATTTTTAGACCGTGAAAAATTTTAGTTATGCTACTCTGTCTCTAGCGGCCTAATATATACGTCAAGCTATTTAAAAGTGTTTAAATTCTATCTTTCTATTGCGTTTATAATTTATAGGAAACGATATGACCCTGCCAACGGTTTCGATCTACCCGTCTATCGTGGAGTACTACGAAGGCGACAGAATTGAATTGACCTGTTCGACAACTGGCAACCCAGCACCAAGAATCACTTGGCAGAGAGCGAACAACCGCCCGCTACCAAGATCAACAGTAACATATGACGCACTATTGATCATTGAAAACGCAAGAGTTGATGACTCTGGTGAATATAGGTACGAATGTTATTCATACTAATATTATAAAGCTGAAGAGTTCGTTTGTGTGTTTGAATGCGCTTGTCTTAGGAACTACTGGTTCGAATTGAAAAACTGTTTTTTTGTGTGGTGGTTTTGAGCTTTTTTGGGGGGTTTTAGGTTACAATTATATATTATATTGTGATCAATAGGAGGGAAGACACAGTGGGAAATGTGAAAAAAAAATAATTTTACTTTAAATAACTTAAAAAATATCCACGACAGCATATGTCTACCTTTTAATATTAACACACGAGAAACGCTTTTACGAAGTAGAATTAGAAAACTTTCCAGTACTGAAACAATAGATTTTGTGTGTTTCTGTCTTTTAAGTTTGTGATAAAAAAAACCTAAACCAAAATTCAAAACTGACACAGGTGCATAGCGTCTAACGCAGCCGGATCTAGAGATAGAACAGCGATTGTGACAGTCCACCAAAGACCTTCAAAGCCATCCTACCAGGAACTGTCAGTGTCTTCGTCTACCCCAGTCGTTGATGAGGGTAAAAGCATAACCATAGTGTGTACGGCCACAGCAAGTGTACCAGCTGGAGCTATTGATTGGGTGAGGTATGTATCATGGATAAAACTACTAAAAGTACTGTTTTAAAATGCGAAGTGTATTAGTTAACTTATTTGGTCGCCGGGCTGCTGCAAAGCATACAAAATGTCAGGTCGTAGTTTAAATAAATTGTTAATATGTTAATAATACATTTCGCGTTTTAAGCCGTTATAATTGTTTATTTCAATAATTAAATAAATAACGTTTCATGTTAATACGTCAAGTCTAAGGCACAGTTAACTTTAGTCAATAATATTATTACTTTGTCAAATCAGGTTTTAGATAAAGTTTTTTAATGATAATAATAATTAATGATTATATAAAAAAAACTTTTTTTTTTACTAACCTTAATTAATTTATTTATTATGTTTTCCTGAGGACCTAGAGCCTCTTGAACTTACCGCAATACGTTTAGCAATTGAAGCATAGTAAATAGTGTATTGTACAAATATAGTTACATTATAATGTTCATTTCAGGCAAGACGCTACAGAGTTCTTACCGAACGTAAGGGCTGCTAATGGCGTTCTCTACATAGACTACGCGCGTAGAGAGAACGCTGGTGTCTACATCTGTCAAACGTCAGCTTTCGGTGTTAATCCCACGCTCATCACCCTTGAAGTTAGACCTCAAGGTACCCCGGCGCCGTCTGAAGTTTCAAATATTACCGTCTCTGTCGATCACTTGAGAATTCCAACTGGTGGGAGTGGGACAATAGACTGTACACCACAAGGATATCCCTTACCGCTGGTTAAGTGGACTAAGGTGAGTTATTAGGGCATGGATTTTAATTAAATATTAAACTTAAATAGCCGTTTAGTAATTGAATAATCGAGCATGGGTTTGCCTTTTATTTTAAGATGTATTTTAAATTTGAAATGTCTTTTAATATTTTTTTAAACTAAACAAAATTTTAAACAATTCGACTTCATGATAAATGATCTTCAAATAACCTACCTACAGTACCAAGAAACCTTCGGCCCAGGAACCAGTCAGCGTGATAATACACTTATCATTAGCAATGCCCAGGATAGCGATCAAGGCTACTATCTGTGCGAAGGATCTGTTGATGGAGTGCCTATTGTTAGCAACTATGTCTATGTGGAAATCGAAAGTAAGTAAAGGTTACTCTGTAAATTAATATATAAAAATGTTCTTAATGATACTTGCTTGACACAGACATCATACGTCTTCAAGGTTGCTTGGAATAAATTGCTTTTTAGCGATAACACCGCCGTTTCTCACTAAATACCTATGTTTTGTAACTTCTACAAATTGAATCTTATATTTGTAATATTCTTGTGGTGACAATAAAGTATTTTTTGTTTGATTATTAAAACTAGAGATATTATATTTATAGTATAAGTATACTTTAGTAATAAAACACAATACTACAGAATTAAATGAAGAAAAATTGGGATAAGTATATTAAAGTTTGCAAAGAAATATTTAGTTAAAGCGATTTAACAAAGATTTTTTGTCTTCTAGAACGTGAGGCACCTCGAGTCGAAATATATCCACCTGGAGAGAACTCGGTGACATTGGGTAGCCAATACCAGATTCACTGTCGTGTTGTGGGTGGCATTCCCGCTCCAGTTATAACCTGGGATAAGAACAGAGGACAGTTATCACCCCATGTGGAGATACAGCAAAACAACAACGTACTCAGGTGGGTTACAAAGAAGCTGATGATTGATGGATGGTATCTCTTTCATATTTAAACATCTGTCACTTGGCTGTAATTTATTAACCAAAATAGGTAACGTTTTTAGGTAAAGACAATTAATATATTATGTAACAAGTAAAGTAATTTAAAAATCAAAAATAAATTGAAAAAAATTTCGACTCGGGCAGGACTTGAACGGGCATCGTCAGCGTTCCATGCTGTTGCTCTAACCAATTAAGCTACCATGTCTTACACGTCATCGTCGAATTTTTTTCAACCTATTGATAGATGCACCCTCTCGCGCATTTTTTCAATCTAAGATCGATTTTAAATGTGACAAATATAAATTATTCAAATGTTTGTAGCTTCCAAACGGTAGAAGTGAATGATGAAGGTACATACACATGTACAGCAACGAATGAAGCTGGATCCTCAAGTGCAAGCGCAATTGTGAAGGTCAGGTCCCCCCCTGAGATCACAATTACACCAAGCAATTACCTCCAGGCTATAAAGGGAGACCGTGTCGTGGTAGAATGTCGAGCGGATGGTTACCCAGAACCCATGGTATCTATAAGACTATGTAAGTATATCAAAAGTTAAGCTTCGTTCAAAATCAATTTGTAGAAATTGTAAACAATGCGGTCATCGGTCCTAGGTTTTTGGTACAGTCATGTTTTCACCGCAATATCACAAATAATAATATTCCATTAATTTTGTCAATTTCAACAATTCGTAAAAGAAAATGTACAGCTTAAAATTATAAAGAAATCCTTGGGCAACAGTAACTGAAATTAAAGAGAAGTTAGTTTAGAATTTGTTTTTGTTTCTTATTCTTTGCGAATGAATGAATTGTTGGTTTTCAAAAATACGGTTAACATAAATATATTATGTACGAGAGCAGTATTTTTTTAAAGAAGAATATGACAGCTAAGAAAGGCAGACACAGTTTAGAGCACAAACTTGACTTAAACATTTTAGTGTCTAAGACAATACAAGTGGTCTGATTTCAGTAACTCCTGTTAATGTTTTTTCACTTTCTTTATTTCTCCAACTATTAAACATATAATTGAGAAAACTTGAAAAAATACCTTATATTTACTTTTGATGAGATGTGTGACAGAGATAGAGTTATTTGAATGTATGCTATTTCAGCTGACCGTGAAATTGTCCCGGCTTCACCAAGGATTGCAGTACTGTCTCTATCATACGTAAATGAGAGAAACGAAGGCGACTACACCTGTATCGCCACTTCAGTTGCTGGAACAGTTAGAGAACAATTCGCTATCCGTGTCGATAGAGGAGACGGCGGATTTGGAAACGATGGTAAATATAAAAAAAAAAACTATAATGAAGGCAAGAGTCGAACCGACGACCACAATTTCATTACAGCTTCGTTTTTCTTCAATTTATGTACATACTAAAAATAATATTTTTTTTATATTTTGGCAGCCATGTTTAAATTTTGGTATGGAACGATCTCAAAAATATTTTTAAACCGAAAACATATAATACTATCATATGAAAATCTATGTATACTTTTTAACATCAAAATAACACTTCTAGAGGGCAGTGGCGAATACGAAATTGGACCAGATTATTCACCCGACGAAGGCTTCGACAGACCAAGCAACATGGTAGCTATAGAGGGACAGGAAAGTCGCTTGGGGTAAGGACAAACCTATTTATAACCAATTACATATATCATTGTATCCATTTATTAATAATGTGTCCACTTGCAACTGTTTTCTAAACGAGTCTCATGAGCAGTAGTTAGACAGTTAAAATTCTCACAGATGACGTTTTTCAGTTGTTAATATAACATCAAATATTAAACAGATTATATTAACATGTAAGTGGATTAACAGATTTTTATTATGAACGTCACGAAGAATCTAATTTCATACTTACAAGTTCTCAAAGCGAAAGCTTAGAACGAACGAGAGGAACTGGCAATAAACTCGCCGTCACTCCTTTTATCGCCAAGTTTCACTTTACATTCTTTATGTACTTTTAGTGCACTACATATATTTCCTTAGTTAGAGCCGGTTCTTCCACACCCCAATTATTTTTATCATTTAAATATTGATTAACATCATAATGACCCTTTCCAAGCAGGTTTTGTTTTACATACGATTTAAACTAATTTATTGATAAAAACATTTCCATACCACAGTTGCAATACATCCAACGAATTCCAAGTAATTTGGGGCAGAGCTGATAGGAGACCTCTACAATACAACGCTAGGCAATATGGCTCAGAACTCATCATTTACAACGTAAGTTCATAAAGTTACAATATTTACCTTATATAGTCCTAAAAACAAAGAGCTATTCATTTATTCCTTATTTTGGAATCGTTCGTTGGACGGGCTTGATCATGTAATAGTATAAATGTAAGGCTAATAATCAACGTCATCGTTGATTATTAGGTTCGTTTCCTATCTTGCCCAATTTTTTTTGAGCAATTTCTAATTTGTCTAAAACATGTTTGGACTTCGTCTGGAAATCTGGATATTTAATAGGTGGTAGGAATACTGAAATTTCGTCCGATCATGAACCACCGTACAGATAGAAAAGCCGTCAAGTTTAATCGAGTTTCGGTTTTAGTCTGTTGATTTCCCAATATCCAAAGCCAAATAGTTCGACAGCGCATCTTGTTTAGATGTTATATCAAGAAATCACTCCTTTATGCGCAGGCGAACTTTTTATATAAATCGATCCAAATTAATACTGTACTAGACAATAGGGAAAACAATATGTCTACAAATTAGACTACTTATTTTTTCTAACACTTGCTTTAGCAAATATGACTTGGTACAAGCAAATAAGACATTTTCATTGTTTTTTTTTTCTATAAAAGGTTATTTTTTTTAACAGATAGATGGGTTCAAATTCGTACCAATTATATTTTTACAGACTTCAAAAGCTGATTCAGGCAGATACGAATGCACGCTGATCAACCGCCGTACCAATGACGTACAACAATCTGTCTACACCAGTTTAGATGTAATGGCGCCGCCAAGAATTACTCTACGCCCTCCATCGCAAATAGTCCACCCGGGACAGTCGCCAACCGTAGAATGTGTGGTTGAAGGAGACGACATTCTCAGCATTTCTTGGAAACCCGTCGACAGATTGCCGTCGAGGTCAGTAATGAAATTGCTCCTTATTTGAATTATGTATTCGCAAGATTAAGAAATGGCATGTTACCTTTCCCATAAGTGGGACGGGTGAATTTTAACCCGTGCTACTGTTCTACGCGGTTCTCAATTAGTAGAATTAATTTTAACTACAGTACGTCGTTTCAAATGCTTTGCAACAGTCGTGGTCACGGGGTTTAACAAATATTTCATGTTTTAACCTTTGAAGGTGTTTTATTAAATGTGTAGTATTCGCGTAATCTACAGATAGCGTTTAGTACAGATTAATGTATACAAAGCTTCGACTCGCAATACCATGTTATAATAATAGTCTTGAAATAATGTTAATGTATATGTTATTTACAGCCGTGTGGAAATCCGTGACTCTACTCTGTTGTTCCGTCAAATCGAAGTGGAGGACGCTGGTAAATACGAATGCTTCGCGATGAACCGAGTGGCAAATGCCACAGCAATAGCCGAAGTCATCGTCAACGGTAATATGCCTCCACTTATTGAATGCCTGGATACAAGCAAAAAAAAGCACGTAGTAACACAATTGCCATATGCAATCTCTTAGATTGAAAAAAAATCTATTCGATTCAATACGTTAGATCGTTGATATTTATATAAATAGAAGATAGTCGTATATAACTCTAAAGCTCAAGAAGAGATTGCTTAGAACCAAGAGATGGCGTTCTTGTGAGACGTAACATAAAATGTCAAAGAGAATACAAATCTAACCTCTATGAAACACAAATGACAGCTAAACATAATTTTGTCTATGGTCTTATATATTCAGGTCAATCAAGAATTTAATTAATTTGAAGGTGATATTATTTTTCCGACAATGACAATAAATAATCATTAAAATAGATAATATTTAATACCTTAGCTAAAACAGGCTTAACAAAATTCGTCGAGTCACCGTCACAGTTATGTATTGTTTACGCGAGTAGTACAAATTTAAATATAGCACTTTTAAAGGTTGATAACGAAATACCGAAATACATTAATTATCTCATTTATAATTAATTTGAGCTACGGCCCGACGTTTTGGATACTTTGCAGCAGCCCCTGGTCACGGAGGGACTGTATTTAAAATAAATTGTGCGTTAGTTAACTAATATATTTGACGTTTTGAACCGTTAAAAGTGAGTTATTTAGTATCTTCATATTTCAACGATCTGACGTTTCGGATGCAACGGAGGACAAAAGTTGTTTTATTTTGTGTTAAATACGACGTATAATTTTCAATCTATGAGATTAAAAATCAATTAATGTACAATATAAGTCGTCACAATATTACAACAACGGTAGAGCTTTACACAATGTACAGCACAAGACGTGAATAGACGATAATAATGATCACCATCATTGAATTTACATTAATAATTTCACTATCAAACCAGTTGAATGCTTAACGTAATACCATTGAATGCTTGAATGAGGGTACTTGATTGCATGTCATAAAACTCATAGAAGAAGCGGATCGCGCTACATCGGAATCGCATGATAACGAGCAATACGCGCACGTTGGCGCCGCCGTCCACCTCAGCTGCAACGTCACCCAGCCAGGATTAAAAATAAGATGGAACAAGGACGGACGCACGCTACCGCGCTCTGTGTCACAGAAGAATGACGGCTCACTCTTCATTAAACTCGCCCAAAAGACAGACAGCGGTCGCTATGTTTGTATTATCTGGGACGGCTACGGACGACAGACTAGCAATTACATCAACCTCCACATCGAGGGTCAGTGAACGCCCCTTTATCTGTAGTCGGTTTTGGTCATTACTTGTTCGATTTTAACCCTAGTACTGGCATGTCTCATAATCTTCTTCACTATCTAACTTGACTCTTAGCTAGCTTAATTTATAAGAACTATAGCTAAATGTGTTTTATTTCACGCGAAGGTGTTGAGTGCTCTGTAAACCAGTTTCGTTGTGAGGACGACAGTGGTTGTATTGATGAAGATTTAATTTGCGATGGATACGATAATTGTCTGGATTCTAGCGATGAGAATAAGTGCATATTGAGGGAAAAGCGATTGTTGAACTCGCATAAGGATCACCGGAGTTATGGTAAATAAAGGTGTACGGGCACTTGTGTGTTGGGGGGCCATTGTGAAGTCGAGGGTTGTTCTGGTAACTAAATGTGCAAATTGTACACGTTTATCGAGTCCATACCGTGCTGTCTATATAATGGTGGAATACGTGTGACGTCATCAATATTAAGAGTATAACGAAGGAACTAATTAATCTTGTCCTAACCGTACTTTTCTACATTAACCGCATTGCATGTTGTCGAATTGTAATTTGTATGTCGTTTGGGCTTATTCGAAAGTAAGTATTTGCATGCTGAATGTTTTGTGTTTTAACATACTAAATTAGAAGTAATTTAAAAATCGAAAAAAATTGAAAAAAAAAATGACTCGGGCAGGACTTGAACCGGCATCGTCAGCGTTCCGTGCTCTACCGATTGAGCTACCGAGTCCTACACCTCATTGTCGAATTTTTTTCAACTTATTGATACATGCACCTCTCGCGCAGTCTCAATTGGAGAGCAACATCACGGAAAGCTGACGATGCCGGTTCAAGTCCTGCCAGAGTCGAAATTTTTTTCAATTTGTTTTCGATTTTTGAATTATATAGTGCCATCATGTGCAATAACATGTGAAAAATATTGATGTTTTTAAATTAGATGTATATAGTAATATATTTACGGTGACATGTGTATTTTTTAATATAGCAACCTTACTAATACAAAGTAGTAACGATGTTTTAATATAGTGTTTAAGAACATTTTAATTCACGAACTGGATCATTGTGACTCCAGTTAGTGGTGAAACAGTAAATGACGTTAAAAATATTTTAGGGACCCGAGACGAGGCGCCCGCCTTGATCACTATTGATCAGCCAAGAAGACCGTTCAGGATTGGAGAGAAGGTAGAAGTAGTGTGCAGAGGTCAATCTAGAGACATCAAAGTATCCTGGGAAAGATTCAGAACAAACCAATATGTGCAAACAAGGGTAAGTAACATTGAATTAAATACATAAAAAAACAATGACATTTAAATAAAACCTACGGTTATCATTTTATTTTCACGCATTTAATTATAATCTACGGTTGAAAATACGAGAAATAATCATTAACTAAAATCTTTTTTATGTGTACATATATTATAAATATTTTCTGCAGTTTAAGCGAATAGTGCATATTAAAATAAAACACTTTTAACGGTTTTAATAGCGAAAAATGTTAACTTATTTTTAATTTATTAAACACGTAACTACGGCGCGACGCTTTAGATGTTATACAGTGCCATGGTCGCGGGATCAAGACCTCAAAATATTTTTTTCATGTGTAAATTCTTTTTAAAGTCACAAATTCTTGGTTGTGGTTTTAGTCGATCGAATATAAGCCGCCTTTTATGTCATATTAATACAATACCCTTGCATTCATAGATTTATGGCGATGGTGCAGTTCTTTTGATTCCAAACGTGGAACAATCGGACGCTGATGTATACAGATGTACCGGAACCGACCCATATGGAAGATCGTCTTGGGATGACTTCGTGCTGGAAGTTGTGCCAGGTAAATTACGTTGTATGTCAAAAGCCAAATGAACGCTGAAAACTGAAAATCTAGATATTAAATAGATGGTAGGAAAATCGAAATTCCGTCCAGGTCACGACGGTCCGGTGAATAATCTGTGTAGTTTAATTGTGTTTCGGTTTTACTTCGTCAATTTCCGGATACCAAAAGCCATAGGGCGATAGCGCATCTTAATGAGATGTTATGTGGCTGGAGTACGTGAATACCAGAAGAAAATTACTGCACAAAAACCATTTATACTATTATACTTTTTTATAAATATAAGTCTACAATACTAAACCTTTTCTAGTGTCTGACTCAAAGCCTTATCCCATAAATGACGAAGAGACAATGTATACGGCCCGCCTGGGTGACACGATCGACTTGCCCTGCAGCAGTAACCTAGAAGAGCCTGTAGCTATCGAATGGAGGAGAGAGTTTTCACCGCTACCATCCGGTATAAGACAATATGAGGTAAGTACAAAGTTTTGTTTTTCTATGGAGTATCTCTCCTTTATAAGTAAAATAGATTTTCCTTGCTATTTTAATTTTTTTTATCTAAATATAAAATGGGATTATCGAAATTCCGTCTCATCTTCTATTTAGCTTCTTATTATCTTCCATAAAGGGACTCCATGATTATCTAGTCTTGTAAAGGAAAAACTAGAGTTGTTATTTTATCAGTCCAGTGTTTAGAACTATCACTTCTTAGAGCATAAATAACAGATGCTAGAAATATTAATTTTTAAGCAGTAATCCCTATTTTTATTTTGCCATGTTTTAATTATACTTATCTCATTTCAGCGCAACCTCCACCTTGACAGTGTGACGGAAGCGGACGCTGGTACATATGTTTGCCGCGTCAGAAATAACGTGGCTCTTGTCGAGACCAGAGCAACTCTTCGTGTTGTAGGCATTGTTCCTAAGTTTAATGGCGATGGATGGTTGGCTCTACCCACCTTGAAAGACGCCTATATGCAGTTCGAAATTGAGGTTTCATTCAAGCCTGCTGGTGAGTTACCGCTCTGTAATGTTGCTCAAATATACACTGACGTTAGTGACGTCACGACCTTATATTGGTCGTTGGTGAATGTCGACCATACGATCTACATGCATTTGTACCAAAACATCTAGATTTTAGCAGTGATTGAAATATTAAAATAAGTTAATTATTTATTTATAGAATAGAACTGTTTTAACAATCACGGTGGTTTATATCACTGTTTATAGGCAAGTGACGTCGTTATAAACCCGAGCTAACAGGTTTCGCTTCACGTGAAGTTAAAATTTTCTTTCTTCTTTTTTTAATGAAAAGAAATTTTATTAATAACATATGTAACTGTTTTACTATATCTTAACATATCCGTCTTAATACTGATAGCAGTGATGACGCTATATTTTTTAACATTGTCAAATAGCCCATTATAGTATTTTTTATGTTTTATTACGATCGCATTTGTTATACATAATTGTAACAATCAATTTGAATTCTCTATGTAACGTTGTGTTCAGTTTAAATATCATTATTTTATCACTGTTTTTATCTACTAAAATAAGGTTCTACGAATATATCCTATTTCAGATTCCAACGGTATCATCTTGTACAATAGTCAGAAGGAAGATGGCACAGGTCATTACTTGGTGTTGGAATTGGTTGATGGAGTACCACAGTTTACTCTCAAATTCGACGCCGCTGATGCCCTAGTGACTAGGGGAGACAGACCGCTTACATTGAACGCTTGGCACACTGTTAGACTTAGACGAAGTGGTTCTAAAGGTACATTTTTTGCTTTTTCTAGATTCCTTATAAATACTCGTGTTTAATTAATTCATCTGGTAAACGACATTTAAATGTGAAATAAAAGAAATGCTGTCTGAAGTTTGTGCGGCTGCTGCAAAGCATTCGAAACGTCGGACCGAAGTTTAAAAAAAATTCAAATAATATATATTGGGTTTTAAACCGTTAAAGTGTTTCATTTAAATGAAATAAAAGAATTAGCTTTTAGTGTCAATCACTTACACAGCTTTGCGTTTTGCCAAATCGTAATGGCATAAATGTTTTTCTTCTCCCAAATTTTGAAATCATTGCATTAGAAAGAGAGAAAAACTAACACCGACAAGTTTTGAACTCGTGACAAACTGTGAAACTGTTGATTTCTTTTTTAATAATACAGTAATTATTATATAATACATATTTTTATATTTACTAATTGTTCCTTAACTTTATACGAATTTACAGTAACAATGGACGTAGACAACACTGGACCGTTCTCAGCGGAATCGTCCATCCAATATCAAACCTTGGACCTTTACGCGCCCTTGTACATCGGTAATGCCCCGATAGATCGGCCCGAAGAACTAGAATCTGCCTCTGGGTAAATATATTATTTGATATTTCTTAATGTGTAGTTGCGTTTACGGAATAATGTTTATTCGTTTTTTCTTAGATTTGTGGGATGCGTAAGCATGTTGATACTAGGCAAGGAAGAAAAGAATATAATGGCGGATAGTTTCGACAGAAACAATGTGTACGACTGCGATTCCTGTACACCAAATCTTTGCTTGAATAATGGAGTGTGCCAAGTAAGTAAAAAAAAATCGTTTAACCTTTCGAAATATCGACTAGTGTTAACAGATAAAATGTAGTTAACTACATTTTATCTGTTAACACTAGCCTGAATGAAGGAGATGTCGGAAAATTTAGATCATAAAAATATTTTTTACGGTGTTGTGGCATTAAGTAATTTTTCTTTGTTTGAAACAACCTGACTTACATAAAACTGTAATTGTAAGGGAAAGTGTATTTTTTTTTTGGTGTCTTTTAAATTAACTTTTTTTAACTTCAACTTCTATTGAAAGCACTCAATAAATCTAATGAACTAAACAATATAATTGTAACAATACAAGTGTTAAGGTTGAAATTACATGGCGCGAGAGGCGCATGTATCAATAAGTTGAAAAAAATCGACGATGAGGTGTAGGACTCGGTAGCTCAATTGGTAGAGCTAACAGCACAGAACGCTGACGATGCCGGTTCAAGTCCTGTCCGAGTCGAAAATTTTTTCAATTTATTTTAGATTTTTTTAATAATATAATTGTATATATGCGTAACGTTGCCTTCAACAGACACAATTTAATCAAAAATATATATATCTGTTTTTGACTGAAACATAACTTATGTTTTTAATAATATTATTTCAACAATCTGTACTGATTTTAAAATTAATGTTTAAGGGATATGGGGAACAATAATAAAGCGAAAAAATATCTTTTTTTTTTTAATTATAGGAGGCCCGCAACGAACGCGGCTACATTTGTCTATGCGCTGGTGGTTTTGCCGGTCAAAACTGCGACAAAACAGGCGAAGCTTGCCGGCCAGGTCTCTGTGGCCCGGGGAAATGTACTGACACCGCTGACGGCTACAAATGCGCTTGCCCCGTTACTTTTATCGGCAAAAAGTAAGTTGAATGTATATATTAAAATGCATAGAAGCTTTAAAGTTTTTCACATGCTTTATAACAAAGTAAAACACGATTTTACAGAGAAAATATTTTACGACACAGCCAATTGAGCTACCGTGTTCTGTCCGTGCTTTAGACATGGTAGCTCAATTGGTTAGATCAACAGCACGGACCGCTGTTGATAGCCGTTCAAGTCGTGCCCGTGTCGTAAAATTTTCTCAATCAAAAATCGATTTTTAATTTATTGTCGATAATTTTTGTACATCAGACTTGCTTGCGTACCTATTATTTAAAATATATTTTTCGTCACTGGGAGTTATTTGCAGCAAGTGAATTATCAGTTACTGACATGTATAGTAAATATCTGCTTTTGCTAAAATATATTGTACATAAAGTTACACACAAATGTGTAAACACACACAAACTAATTTTTGCTTTTGACTCCTTTGGCTCCTTGATATTTATTTCAATATATCTTTCAGCTGCGAAATGAGACAGAATATTGAATACCCAGCGTTTACGGGCAGCGCCTTCCTCGCTATAAAGCCGCCACAGACGTCACGCTACCTAAAAATGTCGATGAAGATCAAAGCGAAGCCGCCAGTGACTGATGGTATTATCATGTACTGCGCGCAGTCACCGAGAGGTTACGGTGGATTCACATCGCTGACAGTACGAGATGGACATCTGGAGTTCCGTTATGATCTTGGTGATGGTAAGAGGATAAACTTGTCTAAACAAAATGCGCTGTCGGCTTATTTTCCTGTACTGTCCTGAAGCAAAACTCAAGATTTAAGCTTTACGGCTTCTCAGTCTGTGGATGATGTTTTTGTGCATGGAATTTCGATGTTCCTTCTTAATCTTGATTTTCCATACGAAGTTATTTAAAAAATATATATAAATTACTTTGAGAAATATTTTGAACCCGATAAGAATCGAACTCACGACGTTGATTATTAGCCATACAATTTCTCTATAATATTATGAAGTTTTCAGAAAACCTTCGTAACGTGAATGTCTGAAAACATCCCTTATCCCTTTTTCATACAAAAACAATCTATAGCCGTATGTAGATAAATTGTCTCGGTTGTAACCATTGAAAGTCTTTCTATTTTATGAGCGCTACTTCAGGCAGTATTTAGATTCTCGTCTCTCCAGGAAAAAACGGTGGTACATTTGAAAAAATTATTGTTCCTGTCGTTTATAGGTAGCGAACCTGTAGTACTCACAAGCAACAAGACCCTGCAAGCGAACCAATGGACCTCGGTGCAGGTCATCAGAAGTGGCCAGCTCGTTTCATTGAATGTGGATATGATCTACAGTCACAATGCTAGACTTGGTTCGCCTAAGGTATATATAAAAAAAGGGTGATATAAATCTAATATATTCTACCTAATATGTTTGATTTAATAGCTGTCATATGATATATATAAAAATCACGTGTCAGAGTGTCGTACTATTAATATAACTACTAATCCTACTAATAATAATGCGAAATAATTCTTCTTTTTTTGTTACTCTTTCACGACAAAAGTACTGAACGGATTTGAATGAAATTGGTACACATATGGTCAGACCCTAGAAAGGACATAGGCTTTTTTTGCGAAAAGAAGTTGTAGGGGTTAGGGGGGGATTTAAGTTGGAAATTCGTGGTTTTTGAAGGTAGAACAATGAATTTCTTCTTTGGCTGGGAAAAAGTGGGAGTGGGAGTGATGTTAGGTGAGATTAGATTGGTTGCGATAAATGCAATTACATAAATTAATAAACAGCCTAAATAATTAAAAATTCTACCCCAGGTCACTATTCCACGCGAAAGAAGTCGCGGGCACAGCTAGTTAATTATAAATCATCGTTAGTTACGATACTCTCCCGAAACGGCTCGATCGGTTTTTATGAAATTTAATATTCATAATCAATCAGTAGGTTTGAGAAACGGTGACTATCTATTTTTCATACCTAAGTTTAAAGAGTCCATTTCTTTTGTAATGTAGTATTAAAAATATACACCACCCTTCTATCACTAATCACTATTTTTAATAATGGCTTGGTAAGTTATCTCCCCAAGTATCAAACGGTATCAATAATAATAATAATAATAAGATTCTCACACCCTAGAAATCTGTTATTTTTTTTATAAAAGTCTTTTTTTTAAGCTCACTACAGTGATAGTTTAAACCCATTTTTCTTGTGTCATGGGCCTTATTTATTGAATTTAAATGAATTCATGTTTTTTTTCCAGGATTTGAACCTCGAAACACCACTATTTGTCGGCGGCGTTGACGACTCAATAGTCCTTAACAATAACACCGGCGTTATTGGCGGTTTTAGCGGATGCATCAAGGATGTGAGTGTAACTATTATCTTTTATTATTAGCTGTGCTTGTAAATATTGCCCATTATTTCTCATTTCTTCACTTGTATTGGTCGCAATTTGATATTGTATATTATAACCTTATAAACCCTAAAACCTTCTTCGATGAATGCTTCAACCAACACAAACAATTTTTCAATTCAAACCATTACTTCCTGAGATCAACCGTGTACAAACAAATTCTTCAGTTGTATAATATAAGTATAGATAATCCGTCAAAAAAGTAAATAAAAAACACTTGTGTATATATTTCTTAAAATTATTGGGCACTTAGTGATCAGCTGTTATCTGCCGAACTAAACATTTTCGGCTTCCCCTTAATTCAAAGCTAGGACCAGGATATCTCTTTAACAATTGCGCGACGAAGACAATACCTTTTATCTAAGTTCATATTAAATATAAAAAAAATTTGTGAGATTAACATAATCTACAAGAAATCTTTAGTATGAGAAGCTAACAACATTGTTTTACAGGTGAAACTACAAGGAGACGATCTAAACTTGATCAATTCCTCCATACAATCGGCGAATGTTCAGGAATGCGTCAACTATGACCGCGGAGATATACCAGATGTAAGTTCCAAGCTAATTTTACTTTAACCATTATACTCCTTATTTTTCTCCATGTGTTGAAGGGGAAAGGTCTTAAATATAAAAAAAAAAGATCTAAAATAGATCTCCCTTGCTTTTACTTGGATTATGAATCATGGATATAATTCAGAAAGACGTCAAACCTACTATCACTCTATGTTAGACAAATTATACAGTAAAATTTGTCGAACATGTTTTCTAAGATATATATAACCCAGGGTAAGGCGGAATAAACTTCTATGTTTACAATTAGTTTAAGCCCTGCCCGACCGAAAAAAATAATTGTCTCTGAATTCGTACCTCTCGTGCTTAACGAAATGCTAGGATTAAACCGTAAAATTATTTGTATTAGTACTTTCTTAAAGCCAATATGCAATTTGGTAATATCTGCCTATATTTTTTATCACTTTTCACCAAATCTGTTACTCACAGATCGAAAGTGTATGTTCACTGTGTCGCAACGGCGGCTACTGCACAAACCCTGACTCAGTCGCCTGCACGTGTCAACCTGGCTTCTCGGGCCAGTACTGTGAGCTCAGAGCACCATTGAGTGAACAAAGGCGGCCTTTGGACAACCCATGTTCCGCGCTACCTTGTAGAAATGGCGGTACCTGTAAGACAGATCGATCGACTAGAATGAACTATACGTGCGACTGTCCTCTTGGATACGCTGGTGTCAATTGTCAAATGTGTAAGTATTCTATAGTGTATTTTTTCTAACTTGGCAAAAGACCGTGTCAAATATGGCCGATTTCAAACCATAAAGAACTAGTGATGACCTTCATAAAGGGAAGTTGTTGTCACTGATGGCACAACCACTGACCAAAGGATAAAAAAAACATCGATCGTATAAACGACCAAACCGAACCAAACGACCTCAATATTCAAAATCTTGTACGACGGCCCTTTAGTTACTTTATGACATTGTTAATTAACTCGACGTTTATATAAGTGAATTTGAGGTAGTACATTAGTTCAATATATAATCCAATGTCTCAAAATGTGGGATATTGTTTGTGAATCTTTTTTTTAAATTTATAAGTTGTAAGAAGTTACAATTTGTAGTTTTTAAAATAATTAATATAAATTATTAAAGAAATAGTTCGAGTATTTTAAAGTGCATTTTTATAAGAATAAGTATCAGTAAAAGAAAAATCAGAAAATTCTTATTTGTATGATCAATACATTACCGAAAAAAATTTCATAAGTGTGATCTATTGTCTTTTTTTCCTAACTTTGAAACAGCTATGACATAGCGTTTCGTTTACTCAGTTTAAAACGACAACAGTCATACAAAAAACTTAGTAATTAAAAGAAAAATCCCTACTTCTGTGTAACTAACTACTATTTCATTGTATAGCCTTGGAACTACTGCAGAGCGTCGGTTTCAACGGTAACGGTTACCTGGAGTTACCAGCCAGCTATTTGAGATACGACAGATTAGAACTGGAGCCAGTTGTTATTGCACTTGCTGTACATACAACGAACGACGGCGTGCTCCTGTACCAGAGGGAAGCTCAATTGAGTGCAGGAGGAGACTACATTCTTATTAAGAGTAAGTACTTTCGAATTTTTTCTATTCTTTTTGAGTCCTATTATACATATTTTTTCTTAATTGTCCAATTCTTTATTTGGCGCTTTGGTTTTGAGCGTTTTAAGCCAAGTATTCTTTACCTGTAGAATTATCTAATAAATAACAATAAAAAATATTAAGCATAAGCTAGGTTGACGATTACATCTAATTATGATGTGCTGGCGGCCCATTTTTGGCTTAGGACATTTGGAAATCTGCAGACTGATCTGAAACGCGGGTTTGATCTTAACGATATTTACATCTGTAGTCTAAAGTCCTACTTGACAGATATTTTGAGATAGCAGAAAGCAGAAAGCTCAACGAGGAAAATTTTATACAGCGCGAGATACGTGTATCTATCAATAACCATCGCAGAACGCAAGTATGCCGGCTTAAGTCCAGCCTGTGTCATTTTTAAATCTAAAATGTTTAAATTTTATACAAAAATAATAATAAATACAATAATTTTTCATTTGCAGTTGAGAGGGGCATAGTTGTGATGGAATGGGACCTAGGTAGTGGTGTCAACACTTTGGCTATTGAAGATGTACACGTTGCTGATGGCGAGAGTCACAATGTAAGCACCTTTTTAGTAACTCTTAACAATTATTAAAGTATAGCTATTATTATAGTACTAATTCATACCTTACTTTTGTATAAGTAAATTAATTCCTAAAAAATACTTGTTACTTTCTAGATAATAGCGAAACTGTTCGTCGACAACCACGTTGAGTTGAATGTAGACAATGTGTCTAAGACGAAAATGACAAACGGAATCTCCAACGAGTTTTACGACCTAATTATGAATGCAGACTCCAATATCTATATTGGTGAGTAGATGTTACCAACCAGTACATATATTTTATACAAAAACTAACTACTATTAAGATAAAAAAATTTAAGTACTCCTAGTACGTATTTTTTCTGAATGGTGCTAGGCATGTAAGCATGAATTTTAGGACATAGTACATGCTAATATGCGTGCTGACAAGCATGCTAACATGCTAATAGGTAATGTGATGAAATATCTTTTTTTAAGAAGTCATTGCCCGCGTCTGTTGCCAATTGGTTAAACGTGTTGCCTAGCATTGCGTTAAGCGCGAGGGGTCTTGGGTTCGAATCCCGGGAAACAACGCACGAGCTTTCAGTTTTTTTACAAGAGGTCATTGACCTCGAAATGATGTATTTTAAAAACACTCGTGTTTTACTCGAAGGTGGCGTACCGGAAAGGTGGAACGCTGATGTCAACTATTACCCGGGTCTAACCGGCTGCGTGGAGCAAGTTGAATTCACTGGTTCGCTACGGGGTCTTAAGCTCGGAAAGGTCGCTGTAGCTGGAAGGAATACACAGCGATGCAAGGAGTAAGCATAGTCTACTTCTACTAATAAGATCCCATTTTTATCTTCATCAAGAAATAAAAAATTAAACTAATTCTTGATAAAATTAGGTGTTAAAGGAAATGCCCATTTCAGGCCATAAAGTCGACAGTAGATTTAAAAACATATGAACTCCATTATATTATGTGATTGCAATTATATATCCATATTGCTGACAATAAAACCTTCTTGTTAAATTCTGGTTTTCACGTAAAAGACTAGATTTTTAATAAGATATTGTACCTTCTAATTCGTGGGCATAAATGTACTAGTTCATGTGTACATATTTAAAAGAACAATGTTAATAGACATACTGACATGGTTTTAAATAATTTAACAGCCTTATTGGTTCACAAATTGTACTATTTTAATGTTTAGTAGTAGGTAGAACTATAAAAATGTCGAGCATAACTCATACTAATTTTGCCCTTTTCACGCTAACTCGGATTACCTAGTTCAATGTTCCCAGACGTGTATCCCTTCTTTGAAGAAATTGAAGTCTTTGAATCCCCACCACCCGGATATCATTTCAACTCCCTTCCCTTAATTAGTTACAATTTATATCACTTACTGTTTCCGCCCATACTATGCCTCATTCAATTTCTAATAAACGACTAAAGGTATGTATTACTAACACTAGAAATAAGCTTGTTTGAATATTATATATTTTACTTTTTTCTCTGTTTATTTAATAATAAATGCGTATTTTATTTATCTACCAATATAATTTAGTATATTACATTTAGTATACTAAAAAGTTATTTAATTTTCTTTTCCACCATAGAAATTACATTGCGCGAGGGGTGCATGTATCAATAAGTTTAAAAAATTCCCGGGGGGGTGTGGGACCCCGGGGTACCTTTTTTGGGGGACCCCCCGGCGAAACCCTGCGATGCCGGTTCGATTTGCCCGAGTCGATTTTTCAATTTATTTGATTTTAAATAAAATATGTGCAAAACGTTTTCATGTATTCAGACGTTTATTTGATTTATTTTCCACCTCATTGAATGATCTTTCAATTAAATATTTTTTAAGTCCGTTACTAACTATAAACTAATAAATGTTTTTTTTCAGCCGAGTGACCTATTACTGAGTCTACAACATAAGTGCAAGTGATTAAGCAAAATGTTAAAGTAAGTTATATTTAAAAAAATTAAATAAAATAGTTTTCTTGAACTTAAAACAAAATTTCACATGACAAACATTAAAATATTTATCTATGGATTCAGTAAGTCCATACTCTAGAAATACCTAGAGAAAGTATGGTCTGTAGTTCACGCGAGTAGTATATTTAAAACGCAAAATATATACGGCCGACATGATGCTTTGCAGTATCCACCACCCGGGTTGTAGTAAAATAAATTAAAAATAAGTTAACTCATACATTTTGCGTTTTAAACAGAAGTATTTCATTTGAATTTACTTTGTATTAGGTTACTGTAACAAATGTTTATAATAGTGAGGGAAAAGTTCGTTGTTGTTTTAATTTAGATATCTCTTAAATAAATACGTATAAACACGTAACTTAGTTCCTAATTATAGTGAAAGACGCATGTTCAATGCATATGATTGTAATTGGAGACCTTCAAATTAATTTTAGAATCTTATACATGTTGTACGAAGTCATATCAATGTATGTTGATCTTAATATAATAGAATTAAATATTTCAGTAACCATCGCTTACATCTATAATAAAATATTAAATCAAATACATTCACACAAAATATATATCCGCCCCTACTGTCAATTGTCAAGTTTGACGCTAATCTCTATAATTTTTTGTTTCAGATAATATTACGAATAATGTGCTTCAATCACTCAGCTAAATCAGTTATGGGACGTTAAAATTATCTCTCTATATATATAGTTCCAAGCATTAAGAATGTCAATTGATATATAAATAGTATAAGTAGTAATAAAATTGAATTATTTTCAATCTCGTTACTTTCAGAATCAATGATTTTCATTTGGGGACTTTAATATTATACCACTTAGTGTTAAGTTCTCGAGTAACTTAGTTATATTGTATAACGTATATTGTTATTAAAGTTGCGTCCCCAATCTTTGGGGTTCTCTGTAAGAGTCTTGGTGCCATAAGAAATATAATTGTTGTAGTTAGGAAAGCGTTTGATGTAACTTGAATATTTCAATTTTCGGCAGGCTTTTTATATTTTTTTACACACTTTGTATCTTTTAGACTTCAACGCCGTGCATTTCGTATTCTGAAAGTATCGACATCACTTTGGATCATGTGCCAAACGAGAAATGTTAAAACTGGCTTCTTCACCAGCACTGCCATTTTTATTTGCTTTTTATTATTAGTTATTATATTAATAATTTTTATGTTAACACGGATACATTTAAGTCGTTGATTATTGATTGGATAGTGCGACAGTACAGTCACAAATTTTTAATCGTTAGGAACTCATTTCTTGCATCTCTGTCCAACGACGGTTTATAATGGTTTAGCCAAACAAATATAGATGTTACAACTATATAACAGTCTGCATTTCAATAAGAACTGATTACGATAACTATTATTTAATAAAACAATTGCCTACTATTTTAATGATATGTGAAATGTTTTATCCTATATTGTAAGTGAACAAATGCAACTAACCGAAACGAAATAAAAATAATGTGAATATGTAGAAGTTGTTTTATTTCTACTAAATTATTTATTAACTAAATTACTTGCTAAGTTAGATAAGCCAGACCTGGAGACGTGGTGGATAACTTAAGAGTTTATTTAAGGTAATATTATTTACAAACATATAAAGCAATTTTTTCTATGAGCTAAGCTATGAGGAGAATTTCACTTAAACGGGGACTTAACTCGTTGAAGCAGCCTAGCCCTAATACCTTGCAAATTACAATCGTCTAGCCAATTGACACATTTCTTCTCTATATTATAATACATGTTATTAGGCACCACGGTCACGAACGGATCTACTACATGAGGTTTCATAACTAAGAAATCATTCCGTCCGCGCTTTTGTATAACCGGCCGGTCGTTGAGCGCGGAAGATTTAAGAGCCAACGCATTTTTAAGTTCGTTCTCCACCAAACCCTCAAAATCGATTTGGGGATTCCCCGACGGCGGCCTCGATCGTAGCCAATTGTTCAACTGACCCGAGCCGACTTTACTAGTTATTAGATCGTGGAGAAATTTGATCTTCTCAGCACGATCGTCTGCTCTTCGGAAAGATCTCTCTCTTTCACGAGATCTTGTTATAGTATTCACAATTCTCTGTAAATCTAGGCGATCGGCGGTGTCTGTCATATCTTCTATTACGTAACGCTTGACCTCCAACGAAATAATACTCTTGAATAGGAATACGTTTCCCACGAACACCTGTAAGTAACTTACTATTACTGTAACATACATTTTAAAATCGTAAATTATACATTAAATTTGAAAACCGTTCCACGTTATTGCACACGATGGCATTAAATTAAATTATTAATCTTTACATTAATAAAATCGATGACACGAGTGGGCATTGAACCGACACCCACACCGATGTGTGCTGCTTGTCTAACCAAGAATTACAAAAAAATTTAAATAAAACACTTTTACGGTTTAAAAACCGAATTTTTTTTTTAACTTTTTTTAAAATTTTTTTTTCCTTTTTTCCCCCCCCCCCCCCCCCCCCCCCCCCCCCCCCCCCCCGGCGGGGCCAAAAAAATTTTTTTTTTTTTTTTTTTTTTTTTTTTTTTTTTTTTTTTTTCCCTTTTTTTTTTTTTTTTTTTTTGCTTGTGTACAGTCCAAGAAGTATTTACATAAAGATGTTCGATGGTGAGAGCAGTAGCACGGAATAACGGTTTATAAAGTCCCGTTCGTTTAATATTTTAATCTAAATATTGTTAATTCATTAAAAATAAATATAATTACCCATAATATCATGTTCAATTCAATAACGGTTACTTTAATATACTACTTCTATTCAGGTTTAATTTAAACATACTATGTCATAAAAGTCAAAGTAAATACATAGATTTTGGTGAAGACAAGCATAAAATTGAACCCACGTTACTGTATGTAGTAAATAACTACTAAAACGGTAACTTTTCCTTCGGTTTATACGTCAAAAAGAAATCTCTGTATTGTGGCACTTGAACCGGAGTCTGCCCTGGGAGCCCACAATTCGTTAATGCTTCTTGTACCTTCTCTTCGTCCATATCTTTCAGTGCACATAATTCAGACAAAAATTCCATCCATTCGTCCCAGTTTAATTCTGATTTACTGAAACAAGTTGTTTGTGTATCACCTTCATCAGAGTCTAGGTGTCCTAGGTAAGGGTCCACAGTTGTGACTCGAAGGTTCAACCATACTGCTGGTCAAATCCTCGAAGTCACTTCTCTTTAGAATGAAAACAAATATATATTTAATGCCAAAATGTCAAGTAACAAATACACAGATCAAATTAAACTCGGTCAAGCCTATTAGTGTTTAAACGAAATAGTAACGGTTTAAAACGCGAAATATTACTTAAACTTGTTTACAAATTATTTTAAACTACGACTACGGCTGCTGCAAAGAATCCGAAATGTCGGGCCGTAGTAAAAATAATATATTTCGCGTTTTAAACCGTTAAAGTGTTTTATTTAAATGTGTACTACTCGCGTAAACTACAGGCAGTATATGATGATTAGTGTTGGTTAGTAAACGAATATTCGACTCATCGTAGAAACAAGGGTTACACCTTTTTGAGTGCAAAGAGCAAGGAAACAGGCATCCATTTACTCGCTGAATGCGCTACGTACTCAAAATTAAGGCATATAGAAATTGACAAAGTAAGAGAAACAGATATAATGCGATAAACAGATAATATAAGAATTTAATATAGAGATAAAGCACCTGAATTTATAGAATAAAACACCAGTATCCGTCATAGTGAGCTTTCGGTCTTCCATTAGTTTTGCTTGCCGCATCCAAAAGTCGGAACGGTACAGAGTTATGGTTGTACCATCTCGTTTATTGTCTAACATCCTCGAAAATTCATAAAACTGTCCTTCAAGTGTCGCCGCCTCTTCTTCACCCATAATATTGCATAAGTTGAACTTATAAACAGTTCGTTTTTACAATAGTTTTGTTTAAAATATATCTAAGTAAAGTTATGCGAGCTTTTTGTTTATTATTTGATGACGCCTTGTTATCGTTACCATGACAACTATTTCGTATATATGTTCTTTGTTTCGTATATATTATTAATAAGAAAATATTTCACTTCAACATGACAAGTTGAATATGATAGTAGACAATTTGTACAATTATTTTCAATGCGTTTTGATTTTCAAGTCATTGGCTATTATTGCATTCCTATAAATTAGCTAAGTAGAGTAGTGTGCTTAGAAAATTGAAAAACGTTATTTTTTTCGTACGTAATTTCGAATATTACTCTATTTTGAAAACAGTTCTTTGTTAATAATTTTATCTTTTTTATTTTATGTATAAGCCTAAAATAAAAAGTAATATTTTCTTATAATATGTATTTTAATTTGCGTAACTATGGGGTTTCAAAGAGTTGACAAAGAGTAAAAAATGTCTATAAATCGTTCTTTTATTTAAAAAAGGATACAAAAATAACAAGAACATGTTAACATTTGTTGACACAAATATATACAAGGATCGTAGAATCGTGTTTACAATTGGTATGTATAAACTTAAAAAAATATAACTTGGCATTTGATTTGATACGTTTCTTGGCTGTCAATAAAAATCATATAAAACCTATTCCTTGCAAGTCATTTTTATTGTTTATAAAGAAAAGTTTATTATAATATATACTTTATATTGCAGAGCCTTGTATAACACAGTGATTGATATTTGTTTGAGTTTATGAATATTGGTATTGGCTGGCAACACTAGATTTGGAAAGATGTTCACTTCTCTATTTGAAATTCACAAGATGTTTTATGTTGGAAAACAAATCACTCCTCTTCCTGACACGCCGGGTGAAACACGTGGGGGGTGCACATCCCTCTGCCTCCAGAGCTGAGCTTCCACGAAATATCTAACAAATTCTTTAGTTATCTATATATTATGCTCTATTTCGTTTTTTACGTACATATACATAAATCAAGGAGTTTTTAAGCTTTTGGGTAATAAGTATCTGTGACGTTTCACCATCACGATTGGATAACATCATTAGCCTTAAAGTTACTATACAAATAAGTAAAATAAACAATATTTTTTTTACAAGACGCAAGTGAGTTTTTGCAATACAAAACATAATATAATATATAAGATATTCCTTACAATGTATTTTGGTAAAAAATCATGTATGGTACATCTTTATTTAAATTTCATTATCAAATACAACAACTAGGTTGTTTGTATTTTTATTATTGAGAAATCAACATATTTTTTTTTAACCCGCACTTATAATTCACCCGGTGAATCTCTGGTGAAATCCTCTTCCGGGTTAATTAAATAAGTGAGCTATATTATTTGAAAAAGTCACAAAAATATATTCTTAGTATTTAAGCCCATTATAATCTCTAGCTAACTAATCTTTTAAGTTCAATAAATTATAAGTAAATTACATTATTTAATAGTAAAATTAGTATTTATAATCATCACAAATTACTAATGAACCTGGAATCTTGTCATATGAACTCTCTAAATGGATTAAAAGTAGTATAAGAATTATACTTGTTGCCATAAAAGAAAAATCCCCGAAGCCTATCATTTTTAAATTGTGAATGAATTCTTTTTTCGAATCGTTGATAAACTTAGATTGTAGTTTAAAAGTAATATTTGTTACTAAGTTGGCGTTTTATACAAAATACTTCAATTTTTTTTACTAGAATTGTATCTAAATTTGCGAGGCAAACAATTATTTACCTAGATCATTTATCTTATTTATTTGATGGATTTCGCTTTCGCTGGATTCGTTTTACCTTTACTGTATATAATATCCAGAAATAGTCCTGAAACAAAATGGTATTTAGAAATGAATTTTTAAAATTTTGCATATCAAAATACAATTTCAAATAACAAAATTCATGAACCGGATTACAAGTCATAATTTTGTAAAATCACTTACCTGAAAAGACAAGTACAGCACCAATCCACTGTCTTAATATAAGAACATTGCCAAATATAATCACAGATGCCAACACTGTGAAAAACTTTCTTGTTGTAGTAACAACAGAACACGGTAATGGACCAAATTCGGATACCTGAAATAATGATAAATGTTTAGCAGAGGTAGACTATTTTACAGGAGTTGGAATCAGTACCTCTGCTTTCTTTAGAGGGAGAAGACAAAAGAAGACCTACTCTCCGAGAAATAAGTTTTGAAGGCTTAAATAAAAACTCTTACCATGAAAAATATAAACAATTGTCCTAAAGCACCCATCAGTGCAACACCTAGTAGCCACATCAATACTTCTGGGTACTGATTGACAAACGCAATGAAGGTAAAACATTCGCCAGTCACCAATACTCCGATGCTTAAGATTATGGAGGACCTATAAGGCAAAAATATTATGATAAATGGAAAAATGTTTTTAATTGTAATTTCTTGGTTGCTTAAATCAAGTATAAACTTGATTTAAGCAACCAAGCCGTTGTGGTTTTAGTATACAGTTGTTAATTGGACGAAGGCTACTTTAAATAATAACCTTTTCTAAAATACATCATACAATATTTACAGGGAAAATGTTTTTTCTTTCAAAGTTTGTTTCAATTGATTATTTTAAATTACCATGGCTTCACTAGCCACAGGCTAATGCTAATAAAATATTTATTATGTAACAACAAAATTATCTATTAAAAATAATATTCAACATACCATGCATTTGTATTTAACATCATTGCATAAGCTGACGGCGATGATTCACTTTTTATACGTTCCTGCAATAATAAAATTGTATTATTAGTATTATAGTAATAGTTTAAATAATATTTAGTAGTTAGTCACGTATATTTTAAGAAAGAAATATTATTTTAGTGAATCAGTAACTATATAACAAACAATTACCTGAACAGCACCAGTCAAGCCGTCCATTGTCAATGAACAAAATAATAGAAGTTCGCCTATTCCGAAACCTTGTGATTCATCAACCACCTTCCTCGCCTGATCTTTGTACATAAATAATACAACTCCTGTTACAATTAGCAATACAAAGAAGTATTTTCTTAGAGGGTACACTTTCTTGCCGAGCAGGACACCAAGAATCAATACAGGTATGGGTTTAGCAGCTTTGCCTACGACCTGGAATATGAATTATAACTATCACCATAGTGAGGATTATTGATAAAAGTGGTCAAAACTTTCTAAAACTAGTCTAGAGTATGTCTTGCTTTGCCAAAACAGGCAACATACCTAGGCAAGAGTTAGTTAGTAAATCTAGAAAGTGTTTTATACAATGTTAGCTTCATCTATGCAAAGTTAAGAGTATTAATCTATAGTAAAATCTAAAATACAAGATATATTAATAAAAGGTACCTGTGTTGGATAGTTTATCCATTGTAGCGCCATATTTGAGCTCACCATACCTAGCAAATAAGTGAGAGCCGATGAAAAATAATACACCTTTTTGGTTGTGTCCTTTTCATGTTTCCAAGAAAACTGAAAAACAAAAATAAAAAGTACTGACATGGAACACCAGTTTTAGAGTATCATAGTAGGAAGAAATTGTGTCAATTGTGAGAAATAAGTAAAAAATCACTTGTATTATAAACTATACGACTGTGAGGGTAGCACTAAATGATAGCTAAGTTTAAAGACAAACTGCTCCAGTTTCTCAGTAAGAGATTTTTTGTAAAATTTGACAAATAATATTTAAACCGTAGAAATGAAAGCCAAGACATAATATGAGTGTTTAGTACTGAAAGAATGTGTAAAGAACATTTTAGTTCTATAATTGGGTCATTAATTACGTTATAAGTGGTGTTCAATTATTGACCATATTCAATAAATAAAAGGAGTTTGAAAAGGTTATAATAATTAGGATAACGATTATAGTTTATCAGTGGAATAATCCTAGCAAAGTCATGAACTTTATCACTACAAATACATCTTATAGGCTACCAATAAATTTAGCTAGAAACTTATTTAGTTTATTTGATTTCTACAATGCATCTATGCTAAGTAAACAAAACTCATTTAAATATGCAAGCAAGCAGAAACACAGATTTTGTTGAGATCTCATCATTTTTTTCGCTGGCATACACTTTAATAGCTATTGTCGCTTATATTACTTACATAGACAAAATAGCAAAATTATTTCACATATAATAATGGTACAATGGCTCAAAGCTGGAGTGTAATAAAAATTTTAAATAAACAAAGTTACACCAATTTTATAAATAATGAATAGTGTGTTATTTTTCACTTACCATTAATATTTGTGCGAATATATAATTTGCTATACACTGAACCAAAACGAGTGAGAGTGTGCATGTAAACTTGTCGTTATTACCGTATTTTCCTCTCGTAATTTTTTCTTGTAGCATGCCATATATAAAGTAGCAAATAAATATACCACTTGCATAGGTGAGAAAGCGTAATTCGTTCCTACTTTTAAGCATTATTATATTGTTTATTAATCTAATGTATGTCCAACCAGTCCTTTCAGCAACCGTCTACTGAACGTTTAAAATGATAATGTTAATTGAGAGACACGTGAAATAGATACAATTTAATTTAGGAAACAACACGATACCGATTAGTTTATCAATACGAAAAGTACACGTACTTTTTACACCGAGCACTGACACGTACCTATTACTGTCGATTTTGTTTACAGTTAAATACAAATCACCACAGATAAAAGTAAATAACATTGACAACAAACGTTCGTTAATAACTTGTTGGCATAGACTTTTGGTTTATTCACAGATGTAGCACTGAGTAATAAAATTTATTTAATTACTGCCTTTAGAAAAACATAAATAAATATTTCATCAGTATATATATGTAATATAACACACAATTTAATCAAAGAATCGCTTCAATTTATTAAATTATGTCTCCGAACCGTTGCTTTTTCTTTGGTTTTATAATCTATCAGCAATTTTTAATCTGCATATTATGTTTGTACTTGTGTAGTTTATTATTGTCAATTTGTCAAAGATTAGCGGTCATTCTGGATGTATTAAGCACCAATTAAAAGCTAAATTGGTAATTTGCTTTTAGAGTAAAGATGGAGAGATGATTTTTCTTGCAATAAGTGTGGGATGTTCCGTGGAAGCTCAGCCGGCGGAGATGGATATATATTAAGATCGTCATACGATCACACTTTATAATATAATTTGGAATATACATAACGCAATACAAAAACTCTAACTTGTTTCACCCAGCGAGTCGAGAAGAGAAGTGATTTGTTTTTAACATAAAACAACATCTCGAAAATTTCTAATAGAAAATCGAACATCTTTCCAAATTAAGTGTTGCCAGCCAATATCAATATTTATAAACTCCAACGCACCTGTTTCAACCCCCGTTCAACACTTGCACACGTTTAACATTGCATATAATTTCATTTTTGATTTCAAAACAATTATTCACTAAACTGCCCCACATTAAAATGATATCCCTAAATCAAACCCATCAACAAAAAACTTTCAAACCTAGCTATTTCCATTCGATTACATTAAACATCTGTAACTTCCTTTCAACTTACTATACAAAGTATTTACTACAACTCCTACTCAAACCTCTATTTTATAACTGGTCTTTGACATGGGAGAGGAACAGAATAAAGAACAAGTGTATGCAAAATATGTATGTTGCCTTACTATGAAACTATAAATTAACTCTTCAAATTAAGACAGTTTATAAATATTTTACAGGTTGCAATTTAGAATGCTGGGTACCCTGGGGTGTATTAGATTGCATGTGTCCATTATGAGGTTATCATTTTATGCATTATTTAGTGGGTTTTAGGGCCTGTGTGTCTCACGATGACAGATTTGTGAATACAACTCAAATAAAAGTAAACCATAATGGTATAAAGATTGGTTGGTGCTATTCTTACCTTACTTGACTTACCATATTTTTGTTAAGAATGTGGCTTGGCAGGTTCAGTGCATATTTGCAAAATTTCATTATAAGAGTAATTTCAAAACCATCTAAGGTCCGGTACAATTAAATTACTTTTACACTATTGACTTTGTAAAAAAAAATAACATTGTGTGATGGAAATATTTTTTTTTTTAGAAATAGTCTTAAATGACTATAATGCATCTGCCTATGCCTATGCCCTGGCGGACTCAGTTATCGGATACGGGCTTAGTAGCTATGAACGAACATTTAAATCTGTTTTACAAGATATATATTCGCTACAGGTGCGTCTATAGATGTTACATGGTCACCAATTATTTATACTATTATATACTTACTAATATAAAGAGCTGAAGAGTTTGAATATTTGAACGCCCTAATCTCAGGAGGTACTGGTTCGTGAGCATTTATTGAGGAAGACTGTAGGCTGTAACACGTCGCGATGTGGCTGATAGGAGCGAAGAAACAGCGGGAAATGTGAAAAAAAAAAACGGGAAAAATATTCATCTTTATGAGTTTCCGATGCGTAAGCTTTGTTGCGCTGATAAAATGTAAGTTACCTAAATTTTTATCAGCGCCATCTCTTACATTTACGGGACAATTATGTCTAAAATCAATGCTATCTAAAATGGTTCCCTTGTTATTTAACTGACAGGGTTACTAGTATCGTGTTAAACTTCCATTTCGCAGTCATTTAAGTTTTGCCTGAAAATACACGATAAATTATTTAAAATATAATCACTATCATCGTTAATTTCATGTTATATCAGTAGTACTTTTTTGTTTTATTGTTATTTATAAGAAAATAAGGACAAAGAAGAAATTTAGCTAGACAAACGAGGCTTGCTTCGGAAATTAAAATTATCTAACGTAAGGTAGTTTTCCATAAATGTAATAAGTATATTTATGCACGCTGTTTAAACAGTATTATTTACATTTTTAGCATTGGCAACATTTGGTCCAATAAAGAGCGGCAGAGATAAACTAGTAGGTATGTTACTTGATTACTTGTAAGTTGTATGTTACTTGTAGAAAGTTTGTAAACAAGACATTTTGAAGTTTGAAGTAACTTAGTATCGAAAATTTGAAACACAGCCCTGGCAGAGTTACTTTTTGTGAATCTGGTAGGAAGTTAAAACTCTTTAAGTATTTCTTATATATACATTTGTTTACAAAATTGGAATACAATCTTTATGGCCTTTGAAATGCTTCATAAAATTGAAAATGCTTTATTGATTACATAACAGGATATAATTTAAGAGTAACTGATTTTAAAAATTGCTGGCGTTTTGTTACTTTCTATAGCTATCTAGGTATCTTGACCTTGGTTATATATGGCGTCATCCTACAGTTACGAGACTCACTGCCTAGGAATTAAGTTGGATATGGCATTTAATAATTATGTATTTTTGTAGCGCTGTATGTGTATACCATCTAAACACATTGATAGATACATAAATATATTTTAAAATACGCTTCCAATTTCGAATAGTTCTGAAAATATTTCCGAAAGGTTAATTTGGGCAGTTTGTAAATACAACCCGTCTTTATTTTTATTTTTTATTTTATTTTATTTATTTATTAAGGAAACTAAAAGTAGTCTCTTATGATAACTTAAAACTAATTTTCTTATTGTCTAGGGAAAATAAAATTGTATAAAAATCCAAATCATGCAGCATGTACTCAGAGACAGTACCCTTAACAGTTTCTCTAGAACTTTGTTTGAAATCGGCCTAAACATTTAAATGAGCAGTGGAATAATCTTTACTAAATATAGCGCGTTTAAAAGATTGTTGGACGACACTATTTGATAATAGGGAAACACGATAGTGAAATCAGATATTAAGAAATTCGTTACTCGCCTTACTCTATCATCTATTACATGTGGCGCAGGAATATTTATATATGTGTTGCTTAAGCTGTTGGCCGACTTGCAAAAATGATGTAGGCATTTACGGCTATTAGAATTTCTCACTTATCCCGCGGGACCTTAACATTTTTCATGAAGATTTTATTTTTAGGGAGTAAGAGCAACGTTAGTTTAAATTCATACCAAAATTAGACACAATTTTTATATGAAAATGCGAGAAATCCATACATCCTCATTTTTATACATGTTTCAAGCACTTGAGAGTTAATGTATATTCAAATATTATATACCTACCTACTTAATATTGAAAAGAATGTGCCTAATAGGTACTGTCTGTAGTTCACGCGAGAAGTACTTTAAATAAAACATTTCTGTTTAAAACGGATATTTCATGTATATCGCGTTAAACGTATTTGAAAAATATTTAAGTTAAAAATAAGTTTCAAACCTATCGCGTTTTAAACCGTTAAAGTGTTTTATGCCACATTCTTGTAAATAAACCTGGTTCAGCAACATAAGTACGATGTTTATATTGGGGTTTGAACCTGATTTCTTCCAAAAGTGATCTCTATCATATAATAGTCGGACTCATATCATTAGTAGAAATAAATTACATAATATCGTTAAGCATACACAAGGTATTATTATTCATCCAGTCCTCAGTAATGTTTCTTAATCGTGAATCATTGTTGTTTAATTACGTACCAACCTAACTAGTTGTTTAAGCGGCTTTAACAGGCATATGCTATTACTGTACTATCACGTATTATATTTACTACAATACAACTACTGTAATGTAAACTTGTCATAATCAGTGTACTATTTAAATAAAACACTTAACGGTTTAAAACGCGATATATTAGTTAAACTTATTTATTGAAATGTGTACTACTCGCGTAAACTATAGACAGTATTTAATTAGTGTACTAGCTGTGCGAGCGGATCCGCGTATAATAGTTTTTTTTCGGAATCAAAATTTGTTTTTGTAAGCCTCCCAAAATCTTTACCAATTATAAATGTTACTCACGTCATCGGTCGCGTCGTTCTTGCAAGTTAATATTAAAAGATGATTAAACTGTCACAAATTTTTTTAGATCATTCGAAGAGGAATCATCTCTTACATATATATTGTTTTGGGTATCTTGAATCGTTTTCGTAGCGCGCGCAACGGAAACCCTCAAATATTAATATTTTTCCTTAATTTTCCACTTTTACGACGTTTCGTATTGTACGACTAAGATTCTAACCAGTTCCTGGGCTTAGAGCGTTCAAACAAACTAAGCCTTTACCTTTTTTACATACGGTTTACTGTACTATCTAGTCTATGACTAAGACTTCGTCTTCGTCAGCGTGTTAGTACTTAATAAAAAATATTTTATAATAATGAATTATTAACACTAAAAATGCACCTTTACCAATTCAAACATATTTATTCGAACACCACCGCTGGATGAATGTTGTATTAAATTTTGAATAGCTTGTTTACGTCATTACCCGCGGCGGGTGTTCATTATTTAAGTTACTAACTTTTTTCACTGGCGGGTCGAAACATAGGCGTCATTTAGCTTAGCCTGATCTATTGACGAAAACCACACAGATCCCCGAAGTTTTGTAAATGCATATTAGAATATTGTTTTCAATACGTCCCATAGTTCTATTCAACGTACAGATAAACCGATTGATTTATTAAAGTCAAAAAAAATATGACCAAAAAATATGAATCTTAGTAACCTAATTATACTTTCATTAAATTTTGTAGTTTAACTTAAACTTCTCGCACTTTAAAAGAACCTGACAATTACGGGATTTGAACGCCGTGCATCGGTTACAAATTTACGACGCATCGACATTTATTTGAGTACAAAATGGGTGGAAATTTACGAATGATAAAATCGTTTTGATCTGTAAATAAAAGTACTTATAAAGGGCAACCGAGTAGGCGATGATAACGATGATGAGATGTTTATCGTACTCCTTTACCAAATTTTATTCTACTCATAAATACATTTAATCTTTAAATTTGTTAGCTCAAATTTTTATGACGTGCATTAATCATGTACATCGTATGTAACTACGAGAATATAGTGGAGTATAGATTTTATAGTGTAAAAAAGGACTTGGATGTGCACAAAAAAATAATAATATGGCAACACATCTCTACTTGAATTTAAATTTCCGTATTTTCTGTACTACAAAGTGCCGGTTAAGTGTTGTTCGCTTTTAAGTTTCTTACCACTCTGCGTAGAAAATAAAACTCGTCCCTACCTACAAGCTGCTCTATTTTCTATTCTTATAGTGTTATATGTTTTTTAATGCTATTATTGTTCAGCGTATACTACTCGCTATACCACTGAACCACATGGTAGCGTAATATAGAAATCTAGATTAAAATTTTGTGTAAGGAAATCATGATTTTTGGTCGAGCAAGATGCAAACGTCCAGTTGACTTGCCTCTAAATGAATTAAATCAATAAAGCATATTTCGCGCCAATAGGACTTTATAAATAAATGTATATATTTAGAACTAAAACTCACCTAATGTTTTTAAAGATTTGATTTTAGTCGTTTCGATAAAGGCAACTGTTACTACAAAATTGATTTATTGTTACAGGTACTTTAATGGCTTAAGAATGTCAGGAAATGATAAAAAGAAGAGTAGTTTTCGTAAGATATTTCCATTCCTTTATTCAAAATCCAAAGATAAGCGTAAAGAAGTTCCGCATATAGAAAAACTAGCAATAAATAATAATCAAGCTAGTAACCAATATCAAAATCCACAGAACGTTGTCTCAAAAAATGATAGATTCAATGTAATAGAACAAAACGACCGAATCTATGAAAATCTGTGTATGACGCCAACTTCTTGTAAAAGTCATCATCAAGTCACTGATACTTACAATAGCACCAAACGTAGACAGCAAATAAATGAAGAGCACCATACATTAATACAATCGAAAGACCAATATAGCCCACAAACTTCGCCAATTTTTAATAATTCTCAACATCCTAGTAATATGTCTTACTATCCTGACATTTATTATCATTCCGTGGAAAGATTAGCTGATAAAGTTCTAGTTGTGGACCGAGAAGTACTCAGAGCATCTCAAGTAAGGAGAGACCCTGAATCAGTCGGAGCTGAAATTAGAAAAGTTAGTACAAAGTTCCTAGTCTCCCCTAAAAAAGAAGCTACAGTTAGGACGATGAAACCAATAAGAGCAAATAGTTTTTCAATCCGTGACAGTGAACCTGTAGAGCTCAGAAAGGTGAACCGTGACACTGGCTCTCTAAGAAGAGCTTATCATTACTCTGCTCCAACTTCTCCTATTTCTGTTGGACATAGAATACCAACAATGCCGACGACGGTTTCGCCAGATGAAAAATTTAGAAAGTCACTCCTGGAAGCTGAAGTGAGTAGAACGTCGTTAAGTAGAACAAGTGAACGTTCAAAATCTACACCACCCACATCTCTATTCAGAGAGACTGATTCTCCTATATTATACTCGGAAACGAAAAGATCTAGTAAAGAAGTAGCACGGCAGAAGGTGGAGGCTTTCTACTGGCAAAAAATAAAAGAAATGAAGGACCAAGATGATCTTAACTTGCTTCAAAACTTACTACCACTTAAATATAATACACTGTCTACATCAAACACTATAAACACAGGCGAAACTACTTATCTAAATTCACCATTTAGGAGAGGCGTACCTGAACGCCGAACAGATACCTATATTCATAGTTCAGCGTCGTACTACACAGATCCACAGAAATCTAATTCTGTGATAGTAGGAAATCAAACACCCGCGCGAGGCACACCACCGATTCGCTTACGGAGGAATGAAGACAATATTTCAATTACATCGACCAATTCAAAGTTATCGAAATGTAGTAAAAATACTAGTAGTATGAACACATTTTCCACAAGACCACCTGTACCACCAGTGCGTACAACTAGTGTTGCGGCCTCTAACAAAACAAATGAAAATCGAGTACATTTGGATGACTCCAATATTTATTTTGAATACGAAAGCGGATCGGAAGCTGCTGAAATACAAAGAATATTACGCAGTGACGATTATAAAGGTAAGAATATCATTCATATTGAAATAATCTTTGCATTAAATTTTCCAAAAGAAATTTATATATATTATATAATTATTATTGTACATAATTTAAGCAAAAAGTACAAATTTAATAAAAATTATTTATCCCTAACTAGATATGCCCGACTTCCTCCGCGTAGAATAATATTGGGCATCATATTATTTATGTTTTAAAACAACTTCGATAAATCTATCCAACACGAATAACAACAATAATTATTCAACTTTAACCAGTAGTTCCTGACATTAGCGCGTTCAAACAAACAAACTCTTCAGCTTCATAATATTAGTATGAATTTTTAAAGTGTAGTATGTATTTATTATTGTACAGCTTGATCAAAGTTTATACCATATTATGTAAGTACCGAAAACATGCTAAAACTTTAGTGCAAACAGAGTTTATATTTGAATTTCGCCCCGTAAGTGGAGTTTGCTAAAACGCTTAGCGTTAAGTGTATTAGCTTTTAACGTTACTAGCTGCCTGAAGCGCAAACACGTGTGTATTTTCTTAGCATAGAATAAACAGCCTTTTAAATTCACGTAACAGATGAAGATACAAAAATAAATGTACGGAACCAAGAGCGGGAACTCAAAAAACTTTTCTGCTTCGAATTGAAACATTCCGCTTGATTTCACAAAATACTTTTAAAAATTTCACTCTTGGGAAAATTTTCATCGGTGGAGCTTTTGAATGTCCAAGTTACGTTTTTAAATTAAAAACTTTTGAATGAAAAACGTAATCCGCCTAAGTTATTGCGGTCAACGCCGCCCGCCCTCTCAACGTTGAGCACGTCGTATTCCGACTTAGTGGTGCATTAAATTCAGCCGCCGGTTGAGGTGATTTTTCTAAACATTTTTCTTATGTTTAAAGCGGTTTTTAGATTATAAAATGTTTAAAGTCCCTTCTACATACATAAATATGAACCTTTCGTAATATGTGATATAATTTCAGATGGCGTTTAGTAATTCCTTGCGACTTTAGATTTAGTATATATAACTAGTTAAGTGACTACGATGTTTATTTATTTACTTAAATATTTATAAGACCTTAATTCTTTTAACGACAAACTAAAAATACTTGTTTTATTTAGTGTGTACTTAGATAGACTTAACGCCTGATACTCGTAGCAGAGTAATATTAATTATTACGTATTTAAAAAAATAATTTCGTTTGTCAAACCTGTTAAATTGTTAAGATATGAACAAAAAATACATACGCTAATCAAGAAGCCAAGAAAAGTTCTGTGTTTCCCGCCCATGGCGTACGAAACGGCGCACGCGCGTTAAACTCAGGAACGATTGTTCCGTCGGTAATGTAGGCGTCTCACAGCGCAAGGTCATTGATCTGATGGATCGATGAGAATAAGATGACGCGCCTGTGCAGGACTGCACACGACGCGAAATAGGGCAAATTCTAACCTCAACACCTAAAGTAAAAACATGTGTATCAGTTTGGAAGTGGGCGTCCAAAGGCGCAGACGGCGCCCTATGCGTCGCGAATATTGACACAGTGCGCAAATGTAAAACACGATTACAACTGTGATAACAAACTCCATTTTTTTCGCTGTACGCTCTAGAACCTTCCTAATACTTCCTAATCATTTCTAATATCAGGATAAATTCGAACGGCAGATGCCATTAGTCTTGGCGGTGTTTGTTTTGCGTTTTAGAGCATGGGTGTGGTTCAATGGCTTTGACGTTTGCTTTAATGTCCGGGTGGCCGAGGGAGTGAGCACGTGATATATTAGTATTACTCCAGTACAACGCTCTTGTCTAGTGGCGGGAGTAATCATGCAGTTACGATTCTGCGCATTGCAACTAGAAGTTTAAGCGCGAATTCTCATTGGACATGACAGACGAGTGCATATGGAAAACAATAGTATAGTCTATCCAATACTACTGAGTTCTATCGGCTTAATTAATTTGGTCTTCGAACTTAGCACGTGACGAAAGTTTCGAAATCGGTTATATGATTTGAAAGATCAAATATGGCGTTGAACTGAATTGATTTTGAAAGTTAGCGGCGATGCTCAGTTTTTCAAAATGTTACGTGAGTGTGTGTAAAGTGTTAATATTATCGTGTCTCTTATTAAATTATTAATTTGTTTAGTCATCCGATAATCAAGAGCAAATTTTGAAACGAATATTGCTCGATATAAATAATAAATTACCGGTAATTATTTTGTTTAGAAAATGTTCTTTTCTAAGATCGTATCATCAGAGTTTATAGTTTAATATTGTTGACTCTAACCGGTTTGAAGTCAACAATTCTCCTACAATAGAAAAAATATAACGTAAAAATTTGCTGTGGTATTATTTTATTATTATTATGTAATTGATATATTACTTATTACAACCTAACTTTCACGATTTGTGTTGTTTTTGTTTTTTTAGGTAATTGTCATTATATTCTTTTTATACAGTCAAGATTAGTCAAAATCATAATATATTTTCCTAAATACTGTCATGATATATAGCTTTATTTGATTTAAGTACGTACAGATTCCAAAAAATAATAGTTAACATACCTATTGTACCGGTTGCCATAGGAGCATGAGATTAGGACTTCATAGAGCAGTCATGTTACTTTGTAAAATAGCATTTAGGTATATACCTATTTAAATGGAATGGATATTCGTTTATATAAAACTATACCCTTTAATTTTTTTACACATGAAATATGTTTAGCTAAATAATAAAACTTATAATTCAATCTTAAATCATTATTTTTTACGCTATATTTGTAATGTCCGCTTAGCCCACATGATCTCTTCAAAAGATCTTTAAAACTTCCGTCCAGGATTTATTCTCTATCAACTTTCCCATGTAGAGTTCTACCGTATCATTGCCAACTCGCTGGCTTCAATCGCAGTGCTTCCTAAATGTAAATATTGATGAATATTTCATTCGAAACGCCGATGTTTGACTTTCGTTAAAACTTTTCCTTGTTCAAAGTAACGCGCTGATTTTCCACTCACATTTTAGAATTATTCCATATTTTACTTTACACAAATATTTTTAAAATTAGTTTTTCGTTTCAACAGGAGAATACTGTAATCCGAATGCCAACTATGAGGCAATCGCGATGATTAATTAAATTCTTCAATTGGTTATTTTAAACTCACGTCACTGTTCATTGTAGCAGCGTTATTTTAATTGGTATCTCTTGTTATGTTTTTGTATTATTCCTATCTACTTGACCCGATAAACGTGGTAACTTAATTTAAAAGAAGGTTCGATTTTTTATAATTTGAACGCCTTATGTTTTTCATAAAAGGATTAGTTGCGTTGATTAAGTGCTTAAACTTTAAAGAGGATCCGAAATCCGGGTATTAAGGTGTAGATGGTAAAAATAATAAACGAATATCGTCGGGTCTAACTATTTTTAATATTTCTATTCATTATCATTCAAATCTTGGAAGTATTAAATTAGCCCTACTTTAATCTGCTGTAACTTCTATCTGGAATTAGATATTTTTCTAAATATTGCCCGCTCAACAAACTCTAAATTTTCTGTATTAAATTAATTTTAAATAAAACACGATTCCATATTAGTTAAAATTTATTTGTAACGTCGAGTCGTAGTTAAATTATTTTTAAATAAGTTCGCTTTCGATCGCTTTTTAAACCATTAAAGTGTTTTATTTAAATGTGTACTACTCGCGAAAACTAAAGCTTCATTACAGTAATTGTTATTTATGCCGCAAAAATTTCAGACATCTTTTTTTTTAACATAACATACCCATGCTCTTACAGTTATAATCACCTTGACCACGGCAGGAAGAGGCTTTTTCGTTCAACTTGTAATTCCTCTACTATCGATTGTCTGTTCCCGGCTTTGCGCATGCTCTCTGTTGAATATTTTATATCCTCTAACTACGACGTAGATGTAAAATGAGAAACAACCCATTAGGTCTCTTGGTCAGAGTAGAGAGATAATTATCGACCGGAAATATAAAAAAATAACCATTTTATTAGCTTAAGTGATAATTCCCACGTCAATTTTGAATTAAGAATCTGGATGAGCTCACAGATTTCAGTTTTTTTTTATATCTACAACTAGCTATATCAGCGACTTCATCCGCGTAAAAAAACTTATTTTGTGCATTCAAATTTGTTTTTGCATACTCCCTTCTTTATCTTTATAAATTTAATCTGTTATCCACGACGTCGGTCGCGTTCCATCGCTCTTGTAAGTTAATCGTAAAAGATCGCGGACATTTTTTACATCATTTAAAAAGAATCATACATTCATACATATTTTTTGGATATCTTGAACATTCATTTTCCCCAAGATTCATTCTTCCAGTTTTTCCACATTTCCCGCCGTTTCTTCGCTGCTAGTTGTCACTGCGCGTTGTTTTATACCAACCAATATAACATTGCTCGATAACCTAATAATATTGTCCTAACCAACACAAAAATAATATTTCAATTCGAACCAATTCGTGGTCTAACAAACCAACTCTTCAGCTTTAGAATATATATAACTTAAAACGGAAAAATGTCTTTCTATCCTTAGGGATATACAATAACGTATTTTTATATAATATAGTTATATATTTACATAATAGCGAATATATACTCTGAGCCTTATTAAAATAACTTCCACAAAATATATTTAAAAAACATTGATATTTTCTTTCTTTGTATGTAAAGTAATGTTTGAAGACTCATTAATGCTATCACTAAACGAGTAAGTAGAAGATGACACGAATAAAGAAGATTTATAATTCTGATAGCATGCTCGTCAGCTGTTTCATTAATCGTGATAAAAATTTCCATTTTTGAGGTTGCTATAAGTCTGATGGCTGTTATGATCTTAAGGGTGGCCGTTTTTGCTTAGCGTTTCTGTATTTGGGGCAATCATTAGTCAAAAAATTCCAAGTTCGGTTTTTTAAATTACTATCCGTAATATAAAAAACCGAACTTGGAATTTTTTTACAATTTTTAAATATGCAAAACATTTTATAAATTTTAAGTTGCCTGGAAGAGATCGTTTGTTAGCGATAAGGCAATTGTTGTTGCTTTATGAACTTAAGTTGTTACCCACGACCACGGCGTACCTTCCCGTCGTTCTTACAACTTAATTTTAAAAGATAGAAATATAGCATCGCTTTTCTTTAGATCATTTGAAGAGGTATCATTCTCTGATACATATTTTTTCGGTATCTTGTACCGTTTTAGCAGCACGTCCGGAAACCCATAATGATGAATCATTCTCCCATTTTTTTCACATTTCTCATTGTATCTTCGCTTGTATTAGAGGAGTATGTTTTATTTAACACCCTATAGCCTTCCTCGATAAATGTTCTAACCAACACAATAATATTTTTTAACAAACTCTTCAGCTTTATATATTAGTATAGATTATTTATAAAAAAAAAAACAAATAAATAAATAAACGTGTAAAAAAGAAGACTAAAATATCATAGAAACAGTTTGAGCGAATATCTTATAGAAACACACGTAATCTACAAATCTGCTTATTACGACTCAATTGTAAATATTAATTAAGACTTCTCATAACTTACTAACTCATAACTTCTTTACAAAATTTTCGTCAATTGTCTAAGACAAATTTAAATGAAGAACATTCTAATATTAACAATTCAATTTCACATTAATTACGAACACTTTTAAAATTTTCTATTACTAATATAATATATATCGTTCTTTTAAAAAAGTGCATAATATATGTTTAGCTTATATAAATAATAAAATATTTTTTTATTATTTCTCTTATATCCGTATTAATAATGTGACTGTTCGATTAGCAAATAAAACAAAATATATCATTTTTAATTTATGATTCGATAATTTATTCATAGATGTCCAGTTACATTTTATAAATATTCATTTTGACGTTTGCTTCATGCATAATACACGTACAACAACGCCATCTAGAGATAACTTTCTTAAAGTATATAAACAATATTTTTCCGCGGACGACCTGAAGAAACTTCAAAGAGAGATTGCTTAGATGGCGCAGAATTTTAAGGGCCTTAGTCAATTTTAACAATAGTAACACTTTCGAACAATGTTTACTAATTTTGTAATATTCTTTCAAACGACGTGTTATGTATAAATATTCAAAATATTACCAAGAACTTTCTTTTATTCACTACATAAAGCTTCTCTTATGCCCACATCTTCTGAAAACGCTCCTAAACGTCGTGTCGTGATTAAATAACAATTAACCCATATATTCTCATACTTAGAGATATTTTCTTTAACGTATACCATATTGTTACACGAGAAAACAGAAAATAAATTGAACTAATAAGGAATATAATATATTATCCAAATATCAAAAGCCAAACATAGGTCGATAGCACATCTTGTATAGATGTTAATTGGCTGTGAAATCTCACCTTCCAACACCTTCCATGCTTGTCCTGCATTCCTCACTCATAAAAATAAAAAAATTCTATCTTAACAAAACAATAGCTGTTCGTTCAATAGAATTGAGCTCTGTGGGTCGATATAACGTTCTGCTTCATGCATATATTGCCTGGCAACTGGGCGATTTAAAAAATTCCCTTTTCAAATGTTAGAATAGCGTGGGTATTGTTTGCTTGACAATGGAGCGCATTTATATCAATATTAAACGTAAAAACTTTGATCCTTCTATGTTAAGAATTTACCACTAGGCACTTTTGATTCATTAAAAAAAAATGGAAAGCGTTTCTTACAACGCAATAAGTTACTTCATTGTTTGTATGCCATACGACAAAGCCACCCCCCCTATTTTTCCTTTTGATTTATTACATAGTGTAAAATATATTTTTACAACACTTTCCCTTTTGTTTTAAGAATATTATAATAATAAACTTACGCATTCTAGTAAAAGAGTAAACAAAGCAAAAACTGTTAACCATCTAAAATATTCGTTGTTTTAAAGTTTTAGACTCAGCTGGAATTGAATTCACATAGTATAAATACATATCGTAATTAAAAAATAAACTTATGAGAAGTGAACGAAGTAGATTATTTTTTAAATGTATACTCAAGATTATGTAGATGTATTGATTGGAATATGTCGTGTCAAAGTATATAACAATATCTAAGATGTGAGGGTGCATGTGATGATGTGTGGTTTGCGGGATTGTGAATGAAGCATACAACGATGTTGAGTCGTTGGAAGAGTAAAGACAAGTCAGAGAAATCCGGCAAGTCTTCTAGCAGCAAGAAGAAGCGGAAAGGAAGAGAAAATGGTAAGTTCGTGTTGCTAACACCCAATTTCACCAACAATAACTATGATTAAAGGTTGACAATAGAATTGTCTGTTCATGAAGCTCTTTCTTTGTAATGTCGTGATGGAACTTTTACGGTTAACATTTTTGATCGTATTTTTCGGTGAAATTAGGTGTAAGATAGTTCATCCATGTTACAACACGGGCCTTTTAAGCGCGAGCAGTCTCATGAATTGTAAATAAACTCCAATATAACAAAGAGGAGGAAGCGTTTTATTAAGTTCGCCTCTTTACTTCTTCTTAGTTGCTCAACTCTTTGAGCACCTTTCCTACATTATTTCCTTTGACATTTTGTATTTGTTTCTTAGGTATAACCTTTGTTTCAGGAGAAGATTGGCAAGCGGATGGAAGAATTGACGGTACGTAACTGTCCCCCCTGTAAACTAGCTTTGAAGCTTCCTAAGTTTTTAGCATACAATTCACTCGTCGAGATCAAGAGAAAGGAGAGAAATTTCGATATTTGTTATTGTTCTTGAGCACTACAGAAAATAGAATCTACCTCCAGAAAAGAGAATTGGATATTCCTTTAAAGAATTATACTTTATCTTGTTACAACACAACATTTGTCTTGATGCAAAACTGTTTTAAAAGTACATTTAATACAGCACAGCAGCAGTACTAAGTTGAATCGTATTAAACATCTCAAGTAACCCAGCCTTATTCGGGATGTTTCCATTAATTTATTTTTCAGGCGGCCTCTCTGATGGGGAAGCAACTAGAGCAGCGCCACGAAGCCGATCGTCACGTCGAGATGACCCTAGACGCCACACTCTTGCCGGAAATCATTTATATCTTCATCCTCATCATCAGGGAGATATTAACAATGCGGATCTTGAAGTGAGCACACATCACATAAGAAGATTTTTTTAGTTTTTTTATTATTTTTTGGTTATTCATTTTTATTAATTTCTTTAGCCACATATTCAGTCGCCAGTAAGTGTAGCTGATTACGACAATTTCCCTATAGACTTGAGGCACGAACGACTTATAGACCTACGTTGCAGAAAGGTTAGATATTTCTTTTGAAGTTATTTTTTATTAGTACTATTAAAAGTAGTTTTTACGTCTAAGGTAATGTATCTTCTAGCATTCGATTAATGATTAACATATTATTGACTCAGTTTAAAAGGAAATTATCGATGTAATCGGAGTAACTAAATACATACAACAATAAATGAAGTAAGAGTGGTTTCGTGTATAAAAGTGAAAGCCCGTTTCCCCCTCGTATGGATTCATCCGTTCTTTTAACGAGCAAGTAGGTGATCAGACTTCTGTGCCCTGTCCGACCGAAACAATTTTTTTGGTTTCCCTGGGATTCGAACCCAGGACCTCTCGCGCTCAACGCAATACGTGTAACCATTTGGCTACGGAGGCGGTCGTTTCTCTATATACTGTACTGTGATTGCCAATCAAATATCAAAAATTTCAATGCTACTATAATTTTTGTTTTCATATTAGAGCTAGACACGAATTGGTGGGAGCCTGTATCGTAGGTTATATTTTTCAAACAATTATTATTTTATTGTGATTTAGTTTACTTTATTTATAGTTTGAAACTTATTTTTCGCTTTAAATATGTGTTCAGTATTTATTTTTGACCTTCTAATATTTTTTATGGTTGTTATTATAATGAAGTTGATCTTACAGCCACCATTACCAAGAGGCTATCTCCCACAAACTCTATACTATGATGAAGACCCCGGTGTCATGTCAGAGGTTGAAACATCATCTACTGGATTTAGACGAGGGGGAAAGCAAAGATCGTCTCTACCTGTTGTGCGGACACCCAGTAAAACACTCGAACGACCTTTAGGTTAGTTATAGAAGCGCTAATAATAAATACTATGGCTTTTTTAATATTAAGATATTGTCACAGAAAAGTCAAAAGATTTTTTATGATCGTGGATATGATTGCCAGTCCATGTGTCCTGGATTTTTCTACTATAGTACTTAACAGTGGAAACTTATATAAAGATTTCAGAATTGTATCTTGAAGTAAATATAATCTGTATGTAATATAATAGTTTGAGGATATTTATTAGTCTTAAGTACTGTATATAGCTTACGCATGTAGTGTACTTATAATAAAATACTATTTACGGGAAATCTGAAAGCAGATAGTTAAAGAAGTATATTCGCTTATTGTCTTAAAACCATTTAAAACACTTATTTGGCTGCTAAGTTGCAAATTTTCGAAGTATCTTCTTAGTAAATAAAATACATATGTATATCAAGTTTGTGAATAAAACAACTAAATGTTTCTTATTGTTACAGGTCTAGTATTTTTACAATACCGCAATGAAACGAAACGGGCCCTCCTGCCGAATGAAATAACATCTCTTGATACCGTCAAAGCCTTGTTTGTACGAAGTTTTCCGAAGCAGCTAACAATGGACTATTTAGATAGTCCATTGGTCAAAGTCTACATCCATGACAGCTCAAAGGATATGTTTTATGAATTAGAAGACCATAGGTTCGTAAATGTTATTACAGATCTTTATTTGTTTTTATGTCTATCGTTACTTTTAGTGTTCCTAAAGGGCTGAGAAGAAGACATGGATATCAACAGCGCTGTCAAGATAATTGCGATTTTTGTAACTTTAATCCATTAATTATTAAATATCTATACTTCTTTCATACACAAGTTTTAGGTATCTTGAACCGTTATCGCAGCATTATAACCTCGATAAATGCTCTAACCAAAACAAAAAGAATTTTTCAATTCGAACCCGTAGTTCCTGAGATTAGCGCGTTCAAACAAACATACAAACTCCTCAGCTTTATATATTACTATAGATAGTGGTCCCAACACTCATGCCTATATTTAGCTTTGCGAATTGATCTACTTCACCTTCAATATCTGCTTTTTAATATAATATTTAACTTTACACTGACTGTGTAATTCGATTTTAATCAGGACACTTTCAAATAATTTGTAAAAGTCAGAAGAACAGAATTCTTCTGCGATTATAACGTTATTACTTATTTTTTTCATTAAACGCTTACACATGTACAAAATAACGGAAATCAACAAGTTAATAATTTCCAAGAAACACCTACACATACATTATACGTCCTGTTTCTAGACTTTATATAAACTTGTAAAACGAATAACATATTTTTAGATTGGCAATTTCCAAGCGCTTTTATCTCAACATTGCAGTATAAAATATTTAAATAACAATCTTTGTACATACTTTATTTATAAACTATATCAAGAGTAATAATGAAACTATAATTGAGTTTATATACCATTGGTTTTATATCCATCCTTATTTTTTATTGTCAAATTTACCATTCTATATAGGACGTAAATGTGATTTAATTCCGTATGTAAAAAAAGACTTGTACATCGTAATTATTAACACACACACAGTTTTTATATGAAAGAATCATAGACGGCGTATACTTACTACTTTTGTTACTCAATATAACAGTAATAATCAAAAAAATATATAAGCAACTGTAAACCTTAATATTTTTCACACGGAGGGCATTTAATAAAATAAAAATAGATTTAAGACTGTTAAAATTTTGACACGAATCGCTATGGATGCCAGATAAAAACCAGCTCGTGTCGTAAAAAAGTCTATCTAAATTCGATTTTTAAATTCGTGAAATATTACCATTGAGTTAAGTTTATAATACCCGATACATTAATTTGAAGACGTATCTCGTAATATTTCGCATCATCATAAATTCTTTGAATATTAAGGGGGCGTTACCTGCCTTGCGCGGTACAGGTGATGGCGCACGATAAGGCTTTTCAGTTTATAACATGCTTCAGTTCCGTACATACGATTAAGTGTGGCTCCGGAAAAAAGTTATCGCTAGCCTCAAAATGGGAAGAAGTAAAATTATACACGAACACGACTATCGTTGTCCGTAAGTTAAAATAAATATTCGGGTCTCTATTATTAAACTTTAAAATTCAAATTACTTTTTGTCTATTTACTTTATAACATGAGTCAACATGTACGCTACTTATTAGTATCTTCTTAAGCTTTTACTTAATTTATTGTGCTACTTTAGTTCATTAAATAAGTAAAAATTTCTTTTTAAAATTAAATTCTATTAGCTATTTTTATTCCTGTTTACCTCTGAGATAATAAATTTTTATCTTCTGTCGGGATTAACTAATTAGTTATAAAATAAATATTTGGATGCTGTGCCTCTGATAAGTAAATAATGTTTATTCACGTTTAAATATTTGTTTAGGGCTCATCTTCGTGACATACGTGACCGGTCTGTTCTTCGACTTTTCGAATCTAAGGATTTGAATGGCGGCGTTTTTCCTGGGGCACTGGGGGTGGGCTCGGTTCGACTGCCGGCGCTAGCTGCAACAAGTTCCTCCACAGCAAATTTAGAGGTATTAACAATTATATTTTCTCTACTATTATTAAAATTTTTCTTACACAGTTATACTCATACTAATAAATATTGCCAAAATTTAGTTTTTTTTTTATAGTTTATATAATATGTCCAAAGCGATGTAGTTAATTAATGCTGGTACATATAGATATTTTAAATTTTATTTAATAATATACCATGAAACGTTAAATTGTTCGTTAGATTACGGATCTTATTTGTATCATACTTTATAATGTATTATTTTTTAAAACGCGTACATATTTACATTTTCTAAATACGAAAACTACATAATTATTCCTATATCACTTATTAAATGAATAATAAAAATTTTTAATGTGTGTCTTTATGAAAGTTATCAAAGAATAAAAGGTCTAAATGTGGAGTTTCGAAAAGTTTAAATATGAATAATTGATGAAATGACCCTTTACGATAGAAAAGTCAAAAGGCCTTCTTAGAATACTTTTCATAAAAATTCACGAAATGAAACTCTTTAGGCTTGTTTTCTTTCACTACTATCAAGCCGTACTTACTTTCTAAGTTACTTAATTTCTAAATGCTCAGAGTGAAGTATTTTGTTCTAGGACCAAAGCACCTACTTCAGTGAACCTGAGATAGACTCCGATCATATTCACAACATTCATAAGACAAAGGTAAGATAAAGATTTCGATAAAAACATCCTTAAAACTAAACAAAGAAAACGACAAGCTTAAATTATTTATTTAATTATCTCTATAACAATACTTAAAATTATACGTAAACCACTAATATTATTATTAATTAAGTTTATTTAAATCGTAGAGAATAAACTAAAACTACAATAAATAAACAATATAAATGGCAAGTTGGTTACGCGATTAACAAATTTATTATAAAATACTGTTAAAGAAATACCGATGCTAAAATTTTGAGGACTTTTACATTTTTGTAACTATACACTTTAGATATATATATGTACTAAAAAGCTCTACATATTGGAAGGCCTTTGTAGTAATGTGCGCCACTGTAGAGTTTCTTCGGCGTGGATCTCCACGAAAGCACTAGAACCTTCTTAAATGGTTCCGGCGCGCATCCACTACAGACGTTCATCACTGCTTTCACTTCGGCTTCAGCGGGTTCTCTTTCATCCACCTGAAATTAATTTATTTATATCAAGGAATCTGAAGATAAGTTCTGTTGTCCTTTGACTGTACTATACTAACTGTCATCTTCTGCAAATTTTGAACTGGTAAATTTCCGACCACGCCTGCTAGCCCACTAAGAAGTGACTGTTGGAATAAAGCTTCGTCTTCTTTATTATTGTCAATTAGATCTGTACTTAGAAGAGCTTCATCTACTATAGATCCGTCTGAAAGTGCTACAAGCCCACGCTTATCCTTTTTACCTGCAATAAAATTAGCGTAACTGAGTTATATAATTTCTATCTTACAGAACCTTAATTCAACTGTAAAGATTTTTCTTTTACCTGTGATTCTCTCTTCCTCCAATTGCTTTTCAGGATTATCTCTCTTGTCTCGTTTAGTTGAACTTCTTTTATACAAGTTATGATTTATGGTATCATCAATATATTGAACATTCGCGGGATTCAGAAGAGAACTTGACAATGAAACGCTCGATCCTTTCGCTGGACCAATGGGTCTATTTGGGTATCGCTGACCTGATATGGGTAGACCAACTAATGGTATCTGGGCAGCAGGTATGTTGTTTCCGATGTGGTTCGAAGGGATTTGCGCAAGCAATTGCTGTTCGGAAACAATTCGATTAGCCAGATATTTGTTACTAATTTCTTGTTGAATTTGAAGACCTTTCGGAATTTGTGCGGGAAGACCTTGTTGTTGCGATGGCATAGCAATATTTATATGAGACGGTTTCTGTAACTGTCCCCCTATCAAAAAGTGGCCATTGCCTAATGGGGTTGGCTCTGGTGGCGGTGGTTCAGTTACGAATTCCGATGACGATTCTATGCGTGATCCATCATGGGTGAAGCGATGGGCGTGGTGGTGTTTGTGGTCTCTGTGCGCTTTTCCAGCGGTTAATGCGACGTGGTACAGTTGAAGCATAGTTATTTCTCCGACTAAACCAGGTTGACCTAAAAAACACGAAATGTTTGTAGTATCGGGTAATTTTATGGAAACTTTTAAGCAATTGCGAATATAACTCACTCTTAATTGGTTGTGCGGGATCGTTTTTGTAAAGAAGCGATTGCTCTTGACCGCTAATAACTCTGCCTCCTCCTTTTATGACATGTCCAACAAGCTGAAAGTTTAACGATTTACAGTAGTTAGCTTTTGTAATTTCGCTCGTGCGATCCAACTTCCGTTTGATAAATGGTTCGATCGAACGGGATGTAGATGATTTAATAAAACGGTGCACTTGATTTAATTGATTTGGAAGAGGCATCGAGAGATGATCGAACGGAAATTGCGACTACCAAAAGTTTTGTACAGATGTGGTATTTATTTTGTGAAATTAGGTTTTTTGTTGGCAGCGCATGGAGTATGTTTTTAAATAATTGCATTGTGTTTCATGTCTGTTTTTAGGGTTCCGTATTTAAACGTAAAACCTTGATAGTATAACTAAGATTTCTGAAACTTTCACGGCTGGTGTTTTGCGGTTGTATATAATATATACGAGAGATCCAATTTAAGAAATATTATTAGATAGTGTGTGTTATACATTGATAAGAAAAACAGTAGAATGTTTGAAATATTAACGTAATATTGATTTTTAGTACTCTCTTCCAAAACCTAAAGTCATTATTTAAAGACTTGCTTTCATTTTTGTAGACAATACAGAACCCTCCGTGCGTAAGAAGGCTTTCATTTTGCAGATTTTTCCTTGCGTTTTGTAGTGCGTGGATATCAGTATATTTTAATGGTTTTGAGAGGTTGATATAGGGTAAAACACAAACCCGATTATGGAAACCTCTGCCGACTCTTTCAGTGTTGACCCATATTTGCCATTCTCCAGTCCTGCCGTTCCAAGATTGACAAGTGTGATACCACCTGGAATTTACAGGATATATTTAATGCGTAACCAAAAAGTATGACAAGCACTTGGGGTGATTAACCGCCTCTGTATGTAAATTGTTGCGTCCTGGGTTCGAAACCCGGAGAAACAATAGATTGTTTCGGTCAGGCAGGGCACAGAAGTCTGATGTGTCCGCCTTATGCTTCACAGGTGGAAACGAGATTTTAATTTTGGTTGAATGAAACCAAGGTATCGCTTATAACGGGTCTTGGGTTAAATTTTCGTAGCGTTTGTAAATCATTTTCTGATTTTTAACATGTTAGGCGGAAAAATCGGGTTTAAAATATTTGTTAAAAAATCGACCACCCGTCCCAGTCATAAACCAACCGCTTCTTTTGAGATTTTATTGGGGCATTTACCGTCTTTCAAGTGAACTCCACATTAAAAAAAAACCATGTTAAATTAATCAAATAGAGCAAAATTATAGTATCAAAATACAAATTGAAACATCAACAATATAGCAATTAAGGTCACAGCCCACGGGAAAAGCTAAATATATTTTCAAAGCAATAGTCAATCATAATATACATTAATAATATGAAACGAATTCCATGTTGACAACGTACAATAAGGATTTCGTTTAAAATAATAAAATAATTTTCCTTACGTATTTAATTTTATTGGGTAGTTGAGTCGGAAGAATGTTTGTCCGTGTACTGCCATACTGAAGTAGCTGGCTTCGGCAGTGTTTGAAATCCATGCTGATATTTCCTTTGGACTATCTTCGACTGTAAAAATGAAAATATACCCTTTTATTTTAGAGAAAAGTTCTTCAAAGATTTCAATTGAAGAGTATGTTATATCTAATTTCAAACGTGGGGCGTCACTGAAATTCGGCGTTGTGCCAGGTACCTACAACAAAAGCTGAGTGGTGTCCCTCCACATACATCTATTATTACTATTTATTGTCATTGTATTTTTGTGCATTATTTCATGTGTGTGTGTGGATTAAACGATTTGATTTGATTGAAGTTTAAAATCTTAGCTAAAACAAAAAGGTTTTTTTTTATTTACTGACTTAGCAATTTTTTTTCCAACTGGAATATTTCCACCAAAATTTGATTACCATAAAAACGGTTCTGAGTTAATCTTATTATACTGACATATACTCTCGAACATTTTTTTAGATCACTAATTATAGAGGAATTATTACTCTTTCATACATATTTTTTGGTACCTTGAACCGTTTTCGTAGGGCACGGCAACGGACGTCCTTAAAGATAAGTAATTTTTCCTGTTGTTTTCACTTTTTCTTTGCCCCTATTGGTTGCAGTGTATTGCTATATAACCTACAGATTTTCTCGATAAATGCAAAATGTTTCAATGCAAAGCATTAGTTCCAGAGATAACCGCGTTCAAACTAACAAACTCTTATAATTTCAAGAAAAATCTATAAACCAGTATTTTACATAAAATCCGAAAGATCAGGTAATTTGATCTAGAAGCGAACTCCCTAGAAACGACCTAATTGTCTCTAATCAACTGAACGGCCATAATTTCTCATACAAATACTTATCGAAAACATTTTCTACCTATTTATACTTATTTTTTACGGGCATACCATAAAATGCTATCTAAACGTGTTTCCTATAAAGCTTAGTATCGGTTACCTGTGTCTATAAAAAGTGAAAGTTACAGGGCTCTATGCGCTAATACTAATGTTTATAACAGCTTCATTTGCAATATATTTTCAAATTACTAAGAGACAGTTATTCGCCGCTTCTATATAAAAATGATTAAATATCTCCTATAATTTTAGACAGGTTGAAACAGGACTCATATTAAATACTGTCTATAGTTTACGCGAGTAGTACACATTTAAATAAAACACTTTAACGGTTTAAAACGCGATATATTAGTTAAACTTATTTGAAAATGATTTTTAACTTCGGCCCGACGTTTCGGATGCTTTGCAGCAGCCGTGGTTGTGGTGGTGGTCCCCGTGACCACGGCTGCTGCAAAGCATCCGAAACGTCGGGCCGAAGTTAAAAAATCATTTTCAAATAAGTTTAACTAATATATCGCGTTTTAAACCGTTTAAGTGTTTTATTTAAAAGGAGTCATATTGACAATCTCGGCCAGGGAGGGCGCTGAATTCTGATCATCTACCTAACTGTATAAATAAAGCACTTTTTACGATTAAAACCCGAATTGTATCAGTTAAACTTATTTACAAAATATTTTAACTACGGCCCGATGTTTCGGATGCTTTAGGTACAGGTAGCCGTGGTCACAGGGAGATTAAAGATGGAGGATGTCCCTAATGTCAAAATAACACTAATACAATTTGAGTTTCAACCCGTTAAAAATGTTTTATTAAAATGGGTATTACTTGTTTTACTAAACACTACTTATTTAAAAGTAAATGAAAATAATTTAGTGAAACGGACACAAGAATATGTTCGCTCCATGCACCACAAAGGAAACGGGGTTTTCTCACACAAGAGAAAGTTGAAAACTTGTGGTTTCCGAGAAGTTTAATCAACCGAGCGTAAACAATAAACTGCAACTACAAATTAGCTTTGGCAAGAAAGCAGTTTATATTAAAGGTAGGATATCTTCGCTCGACATTTGGTTCCGATTTCAATTCCTCACCTGCATAAGAAAATAATGGGTGGTCCGAAGAGTGGTTGTGGAATTTCGCCCACATGCACAACGTAAACTCCTTCAAGTCCGGTAGCTTCGTGTCATATTCCAGATACTGATAAAACAATTCTTGATTCATTGACACCTTGTAAACACTGCATGAATCAGAATCGCTCGCAGGTGCCGTGTTGTAGAGACTCGACACTTTATTCGTCTCAAACGACTGTTGTAAAGGCCTCGGGTATATTGGTCGTCTGTTAAGAATTCTTAACTGAGGAGAGCTGAAAATTTAACATATTTTGTAAGACTAGTCGTTCCAATGTCTGGGTAAAAGCCGTTGGTCCAATGTCTGGAAAATTTGGTCTATGAATATTGGAATGCCGTCCATAACTTGCATGGTTGTTTAAAATTAATCCAGGTATCTGTTTAAATTTCGAATGTCTAAAATGGGGCATGTTAATTGTTTCACCTTTCATCAAGTTAATCCCACGCTTGTCCTCTGACATATAAAATTCTTTAAATCAAGTTTTAAAATTAGAACTAACTAACGTTGTGCTTTTGTTTGCGGTTGCATTATCTAACTTGTACTTGTTAACCAGACAAGGCAGTTTCAATTAGTTTAATAATGGCTTCGGAGAAATCTGTACAATAACAGAGGCGGGATAACAAAGACATCGTACATGACAGGTTATATGAAACCCTTTGATAACAATTTCTATTAGCTTGTGTCAACAATAATAATTAAAGCCCTACATTTTAAAGATACATGCGTTCAGCGATTTTGCTGACTGAGTTTTTGATTACCTAGCTTCGGCGTCTGCTTCTGTTGGTGTATAGGCAGACAGCAGACGTGCTTCCGATACTATGGGTTGCCAATTGTCTTCTAGACACCATGCTACAGCCATAAGCTGCGCTAACACCATAAGTAACTGCATCTGTAACAGATTATTTCAGTTCTTAAAAGACAAAGTACTCTACTTGGTTACATTTTCAGACAAGATCAGACTTTTATGCTCTGACCAAACCAAAACAATTTATTTGATTATTTCTTAACGCAATGGTAGGCAACCTGTTTAATAGTTTAGCTACAGAGGAGGACAGTTTCGAGTTACCTTAGAGATAAATAGCCCTCACACATATAATTAAGATTCGCGATCGACCTATTTTGGCTTTTTTCAGCACATACTGACATTAAAACTCGAATCTACACTTTTTCGTCTGTATACCGTATACAGACGAAAAAGTGTAGATTCGAGTTATCCGCTTTGTTATCCACCGTATCACAATTTATATAATATTCAGATTTTCATGTAAGATTTAACATTCTTTTTTTAAATACTAGATTCGTTGGGATGCCACCAAAAGTTGGTTGTTAGACAATGTCTACAAAGCAACACGCCTGAAAAAAATATTGTCTTTTTAAGTAAAAGGACTCAATCTCTTACTATCAGTAATTATTAGTTTGAGTAATTTATGTCGCATTATTATGAAATTTTTCATATTGAATTGTGTAATAAGGAAAGTTGACATAATATTACACATTGCACATTCAAATTGCTATATATCATACACAGGTCGCTTAATTACATCGCGGTTGCGTATAAATAGTAGTGTAGCCTAAAAAATACCGGTTTTGTGATCTACATATGTATGTATACGGTAATGACTTGATAGCTGATTGATGGTTCAAGGATTTTTTGCAAGACGGATTTCGGAAGAACGTCTCAATGGCTTAGTGGTTGATGCATTAAAAACTGCTTCGTCCAACCAAATCTTATAGTTTTTTATCATTTAAAATTATTATAAGGCTGCTAGAGGCAGAGTAGCCTAACTGCTTTATGACTTGAGTTCTTTTTATTTTTGTTGTCTGAAAATGTTAATCTACAAAAACATAGTGACCGAAAAATGTTAACATAATTCTTACACAAATAATGGTACAAATTCATTTTCGCCTAAGTTAATTGCGCATTTTTATTAGGCCCCTTTGCCTATAACAGCCTTATATTTTTATGTTTTTTATTTGGAAGTTCAGTGTAGTAACTTTAATACGAAACTTATATTGATACCTAAAATATATTACACATAATTACAATTCCAAAGTTTGTCTGTATGGCTCAATAGTTATAATACACATTATCTAGATTTGCGCAGGTCCTGGTTTCGTATCCCGGGGCAGCATTATTTTGAACGCGCAAAGCGCATTCTGATCAACTACCTGCCTGTAAAAGCAATCAGTGACAGTCGGACACGAGTTTGCCCCATGCCCCACATTGTGAATGGATTTTGACACACAATTAAATCTGGCGACTTAGATCCGTAATAAAGTTTTTTAATCAGAGCGTTCGTTCGATGCCTTTTCGCGTTTTCACTCAGTTTAATTTAAATTCCAAATGGCATTTGCGTTACAAAGACGACTTTATCGACGAAGATTGAGTTTTAATCGGAAATCCTAGTTTTCTAGAGTCACTATACTGTAGCCGTTTATAGCACACATTTTATATACAGTGGAATTCTTTTAAATCCAGAATTACTTAACAATGTTTATTCTAAAACAAAATCCAAGATATTTTAAAATATTTTCTTTCTTCAACTTGATAGATCGCGTATAAATCATACGAACATTAAATGGGTGGTGTGATGCGCTATCGACCTATTTATTGCTTTGGATATTCAGTAATCCACAGACTAAAACCGAAACGCGATTAAACTTCACGGCCTTTTCATCTGTGGACGGTGTTTCGATATTTCTACCACCCATTTCATATTCAGATGAAGAAGCGCAACATGTTTCCTGACCGTCAAGAGAATTAACCGTGACGTGCTTAACAGAATATATTAATGGAGTGCTTAATCATATCAGCTCGCTTGCTGATCAACTTTTGACAGTTATTAAGAACGACAGATAAAAACACTTTCCTCCGAGTGATATGAATAATACATCTGTGACATAACAGTTTATAATCTAAAGATAGAGTTTGTTTGTTTGGGCGAGCTAATCTCAAAAACTACAGTTTAGAATTGAAAAAAAAAATGTGTGGGATAGACCGTTTGTCGAGGAAACAGTGGAATGGGAAAAAAACGCGGAAGTTTAGTCAACTTTTAGGAAAAATGTCTGAGATAGTGCCTATATGCCTGTCTTATAAGTTATAACGACGCGGACGATTTCGTGGGTAAAACATGTAGCTTTTGGTTCTAATTTTTTCTTTTCGAGACAAACTCAAATGAATGTAAAGACAACTAAAAAGTCGGGTCGTAATTAAAAATGACATTGATACCTTTCGCGTAAAGTAAAACAAACGAAACTAATACTGACTATTTAAATGGAAATAATGCAATTTGTATTTAATATAAACAGCAACAATTACGTAGAAATTATAATTTTATGAGTGAATCCAATAGGACAAGCATTAATCAATGTTCGCTTTGAAACAATATCAAATAATATTGTGCAACAAATTTAACTCATTATAATAGGCGAGAAATATTATAATATGCGAGCGACGGAAAAGAAAAAGGTAACAGTTTTTTAACACGTAATTTCGTTTACGTAAGATTTATCACGATATAGAATCGGTGATTTCTTTTCGCGGAATTCCGGTTAATCCAACGAGTATTGTCGTCTACAAAGTAACGTGATACGCTTTCTATTCTCATATTGATTCCTTTTAATAAGCGAATTGTATGTAATTATGTTCCTTCATTTCGACGTTAGATCTTAATCCCGAATGAGAGATAAACGATTTGAAATCCAAAGGAACAAAAGACGACTTGTGCGGGAAATTCAAGATAATGTTCTGAGCTGAATAATTACCGAATGGAATGTACGTTGACAAATATATATGTAATTATCTATACTATGAATGTGGTACATTAATATATCATTGTTTGTGACCTGAAAAGATGTTTCCGATGACGCTCAGGTTATGTAGCTACCCGGTACAGTTTGATGAATGAAAATTCTTTAATGTAATTATTTTTAACCTCAATATTTATATGTTTAAGTAATATTGTCCTTTGATTTTTAGAGGAACACATGATTACATAAATACTGACTATAGTTTACGCGAGTAGTACACATTTAAATAAAACACTTTAACGGTTTAAAACGCGATATATTAGTTAAACTTATTTGAAAATTTATTTTTATTTTTAACTTCCATCAACCAACAGCCCCGTTTAAACCGTCAAAGTGTTTTACTTAAACATGATCACATTTCAATATTTTGAATCCAAAATACATTTTCAATTCGCCCTCGTATTTATTAACACGGGAAATTAAAATAGTAGCGGTAAAACTGTGTAATTTTACCTTCAATAAAACTCTGAAAAGTCTATTGAACCACAATATTTAAATATAAGGTTTTGGTTTTATATCACTTAAAAACTCCTTGTTTGCCTGCGCACACGAGCTATGTGAATATTTGTATGCACCATAAGTTATAACTTGACGCAAGGCAAACAACGTCGCTAGAGAAAGTGTTAAACACGAATCAAAGATATCGCAATCGCTTGAATCACCTACTTCGTGCTTCTGTGTGATGTATCTGAATTTACATCTCCATAAATTATGGCAATTTCGTTATTTCTATCGCGTAAAAGTCTAGATTAAAATTGACTTTTAATGTTAGTGATAGTATGATTGATAAATGTCGGTGTCTATAATGCAGTACTAATTTTGACAGACAGCAATGTTTGCCTAATATACACGTGTCGTGGATTCGATACCCACTGGATCCAACAATTAATCTTGTCTAGACAAGATCTAGATGTTATATGGCCGGGGTATTTTACCATCCTCCAATCGAACTATATGCCTGTTTGTCCCCCTCTACCGTACAAAGTATTTATTAAATTGAATACTAATGTACAACCATTACACACATACAAATTTAAGGCATTAAAATTTAAAAAAATGAATAAATAAATAAATAACTTTCTATACAACTGTCTTTATTTAAAAAAGTGTAATTATAAATTTAAAACGTGTATATCTTCTTTGATGGCCGCTAATATATTTATGATACGTTATGTAACTTAAAATATTTACATAAATAATATCTCGCGGACCTTGTATGTCTTCTATGTATATGTGTAACATAAACCTCACTTCTACAGTCGAGTCAATTTATGCCAATCTTAATTTGCAAATTCCAGCTATAGGCACGTGTTATTTACCTATACAATCTAGGTATATCACTAACTACTATTTGCCCTGGAATCCACATCAAACGTTCTCTGATTAGTTGCGAATTTGAAATTGAATATATTATCGTCTTGCATGTGCATTTCATTTATATAAGGAAGACATAAGTACTATGCACTTCTTGGATTAGAACTTAGTATACGTATACTCGGAAATCGTACAATTATCTTAGTTCTCTTTGTAAGACAAAGTAATAATAATTACGGTCTGAATTTTCCGTTAGAGCCATTTATTTTATGCATCTATTTAATAATTTTTTTAAATAGACAACCCTACTCTTGATGTTCGTGCCAAATTTACGCAAATTGTATTAGTTAATTTACTAAAACTATAACTAGTACATTATAAAGGGTTTAAATCGTTAACCGTGTTTTGTTTGTATAACAATTTTAGGAACAGGCAAAATTCAAAATTTTATATTTGGAACAAACAATAACTCTTATTATTGTTTACTAAAAAAAGTGCAAGTATGTATATAATTGGTAGTAACGGAGTATGCAGACTAAAACTGTTTTTTTTAATCTATGCTACTGGCGTAAACTACAGACAATTCTTATATTCTTCATAGCAAATATTAGCTTAAATAAATAAGTGAGCAAATATAGAGACATGAAGACTTATGTAAACAATTTTATTAAAAATCCTAGATTTCGATTTAAATTCTCAGTCTGCTTTTAGTTAGCACTTCATGTATGACAATCGTTTCTCGGAGCCGACTACCAATATATCCGG